TGACCCACAGAAAATGACGAGTTTATATTGTATTGCTGCTATAGAAAGTGGTAAGACTACTTGGTGCTTGTCACATCCTAAGGAATCTCTTAAGATGTACAAAGATTCCTCCTTTTTAAAAATTGAAGAATACGTTTTAGAGTTTTAGAATATAGAGTCAGGTGCTCGCTTCAGCAACACAACTAAAATTAGCATATGGAGTCAGGTCTGTGATCCATTTTGAGTTAATTTTTGCACATGATACGAGATAGGGTGTAATTTCTGTTTTTCTCCCATTTGGATTCTGGTTGTCCCGGCATCTGCGGAAGAGGCTCTTTCCCCTGAATTCCTTGGCACTGTGTTGGCATGACTTGACTAATATTTGGACTCTGTCTTTTCTACACCCTTGTTCCATGGCCTGGGCTTATACAAATGTTTCTGTCTTGATTGCTGTGGCTTTGTAGTAAATCTTGAAATCCTACTGTGACTTCTGACTTGTTCAACGTTGTTCACTTTTTCAAAATTATCTTGACTCTTTTTGGTCATTTGCTGTTGCTACACATTTTAGGGTTAGCTTGTCAAACTCTACCATTAGATTTTGATTGGGACGGCAGTGGCTCTGCTGTAGACCAGTTTGGGGGAGAATTGCCTTTGTCATTATTGTCTTCCATTCCATGAACATGATTTATATTCTTCAGTTTCAGTTTTCCTTTGCTAATACATATAATCAATTTTTGTACAGTGACCTTATGTCCTACCACCTTGGTAAGCCTCCCTTTAGTTCTGGTAGCTGTTTTGTAGATTCCATAGAGTTTTCTGTGTGACTGCCATGCCATCTGCAGATAGTTTTATCCCTGTCTTTCAGTCTAGTCCTCCAGTGCTGGGAATCAAACCTGGGACCTTGCACATGGTAGGAGAGCCCTTTGCCACTGAGCTAAACCCCTAGACCTCCCTTTCAGTTTTTACCCTTTTATTTCCTTTTTTGCTTTATTTTGCTAAGATTTCCCCTACCCACCCCTTTCCTTCTTTCACCTGTTGTATGATTCACTTGTGTGTCTCCTTCGCATTAGAATATGAGCAGGCGTTGTCTCTTGTTCCTATGTCCCCAGGGCTAGGACAGTGTTGGATGTAGTAGGACTCATCCAGTACTCGTGGAAGAAGGGAGGGATTTAAACTGTGGCTTGCAGATTTTGATGTTATTGAACCTAAAATCATGCCTGCATTGTGTCTGGGGTGACGGTGGGTGATTATCAGCATCTTCCCCTGACGCTGCTGCCGTCTGTGAATGCGTGCTACCTTATGTCAGACCGCAGGGCTCACCACCAGCTTGCTCCTTCATTCATTTTTGGAGATGTAATGCTGAGAACCACTTGTTCATGGGAATCAGGCTATGTGGAAGGTGTTACTGTTATGTCTTTTGTCCTTGGACATCAAAGCTGAACTCAAAATTAAACCCAGCTAGGCCACGGCACCAAGTCCCATCAGCTGAAACTGGTTCCGCGCTGCTCTTCCCTCCAGAGCATCTTGCTTTACCTGAATACTCAGAGCTGTGAAAGTCCTTTACCAACATAGTATCGAAATAAATCTTGGCACATGCCTTGGGGTTTCATCTAAAGCTTGGGGTTGGCAGGTTCAGCTCATTCAGGTTATCAGAAATGTCTGCCAAGTGCATTACCATCAGACGAGTCAGTCACTTGCCAGGGCAGTGTGATTTGTGAGACAACTGTGCCAGGTCTCACTGTGAGTTGTGGTTCCAGTAGGTAGGTGAGACCTGGAGCCAGGCACTGACTGGGTACAGAGGTGCCCTGCAGAAGCACATTGGCACCCTCCGCTCAGCTCTACACGCTCTTCATAGTGGTGTAGGGGTGCAAGTGGCTAAGGGAAGTTGTAGTCGCCCTGCCACCAGACCGCGCTGTATCTCAACTCTGGAACCTCCAGAGTAAACTGAGATCCTGTTTCCCGTGCCATGTCAGCCCTTGCAGAAGTGAGTGTGAGACAGGGAAGGCTCAGCCCTCCAGCGCCTCAGCCAGGACGCTGCCCAGGCCTCTGCCCTCGGAGGATTTGCTGCTGTTAGTCACCTTTCTGTTTCCGGGGCAGATATCTGCCATACATGGCTGATGGGAGAAAGGGTCATTCTGCTGAGTCTCAGAGGTCTCGGTCTGGTTAACTGGCTCCAAGGCAGAGCTGGCGTGATAGAGGAAAACTGCCCACCTGCTGGTGGTGGGGAGCCCAGAAAGATGTCACTTCTGAGACCCCCTCCCCCGTGACCCGCTTCCCTGGCCAGGCCACTCCCAGCAGCCCCCCAGCTGAGCTCAGGGTGGTAACGCCTGAGTGAGGCCGGTGCCCCAGATCCTGGTGCCCCAGATCCTGTCCTTCTCCAGGCCCCAGCTGTGTGTGCGCTGCCTGTGGAGTCTTCCGGGCACTCCACACAGGCACTCCGCTTGCCTTGCAGCAGAGCATCGAAGGGACATTGTGGAGAGGTGACCTTCTGCTCATGAGGAGCCAGGTCATGAAACTGGTGGGAGGGTGGGGTGACTGCGGGCCTGCGAGCGCTGTCGGTGACTCACTCCAGGGGAGCCTGGGGGAAGTTGGCCGTCCAGACGTGGATTCTGTTCTAGTGTTTGTACCATCAAGGAGATTCTCCGAAACTGGAACAGAACTTTCCAAGGAGAAGGTGGACATGAGTGCTTGGTGTGTGGTTCCTCAAAGGCAAGAGAGAGTGGACCCCAAAGCACAGTGGAGGGAAGAGTAGTTCCTCTAAGGAGGGCCAGGAACCCCCTCCCTGCATCCTGCATTTCAAACCCTGGCTTGCTGAGAAGTGCGAAACCACGGAGAGTCCGTGGAGTCAGCCATCTAGACTTGTGGTGTGCTGTGCTGTGCTGTGTGTATGCTGGTGTAGAGCCCGTGGATCAGGCCCAGGCTATCCCTTCCCCTGGGCAGCGCGGCCTGCAGAGCAGGTGCAGGGGCAGAGTGTGGGGCTGGGAGGGGGACTGGCAACGCTCTCCCCTGGGTCCACATGAGAAGCCCAGTGCAGGAGTTGCTCTTGGGCGCTGCCTGCCGCATTGCAAGCTGGACAGTGGGCTTCTGGGCCAGGTCAGTGATGAGTAAGCAGATTAGAAGCAGAAGTCTTTTCCTCAGACATTTGCTTCATGAAAGAAAGAAATCAGAACTGCCTGTTCTTATTTTCAAAGAGTTAGGAGAAGATACAATTACTGAGAATTCGCTGGGACACCATCTCTGGATCTGGTGGGCAACGGAGTTGGAACGTGTTTAATCCATGGAGTTGAAAGTGAGCTGGAGAATACGTGGTACAGCTGGGTGGGGGCCGGGCACAACCTTGCGGACAGACCTAGCGTGTGCAGTGGGGTCACTCCTGAGAGGACAGTGCAGAGCCACCAAGTGTCCTCCACAGCTGCGGCAGCGGCGATACCATGGGTGCAGGCTTTGCAGTTGCTAAACAGGAGGTTCCCAGCCATAGGGGTCAGGTCAGAGTATGTGGCACCCCAGGGTTGGGTGTAGATCTGGTCGAGCACTCACTAGGCTGTGGGAGCCCTGGGCTCAGGCCCCAGCATTGCCAAAAACCAAAAGCTAAAACAGAACTCGAGGTGCCTCTTTGTTTTCTTTTGTTTTAAGGTGCTTCTTATTTGGAAAGTTCTCATCTACTTAAACACTTTCCCAAATTGGTATCTTCTCCAAAGACTATCCTATCAGTCACAAATCCAGGGGTGTTTATAAGAATTAGAAGTATACATATCAAAGTGCAGGCAGAATAATAAATGCTGTAGGGATGGTTAAACAACCAATTAGAAAACACCATTTTATTCTTCACAATGAATCAATTAATTAAATGTAATATGTGAAACCACAAAGCTACTAGAAGATATAGGAGAGCATTTGCATAATCTTGTTGGGAAAGACCTTTTTAAAGCGTGAGTCCAAAGACAAAAGCCATGAAGAAAGACTGGCTTTTTATAATGGAAAACTAGTGTTCAGGACCAGTGAAATCAAAGGGTAGACTAAGAAAAATTGCTTGTAAAACATACAGAAGGCAAAGGTGAACTTTCTTAAGAGCCTTTAACGAAAAATGATAGCCAAAAGATGAATATCTCAGTAACCACAGTTTAAAAAGCAATTAAGTGGGCCGGGGATTTAGCTCAGTGGTTTCTCTGCTTGCTGTGCAAGCTCAGGGACCTGAGTTCGATCCCTGGTATCAAAAAAGAAAAAATAGCAATTAAGTTATTAAAAGAAAAAAGAGAAATGGCCAATTATCTGATACAAATTTCAGCATCACTAGGGTGCAGCAGATGGATGTAAAATCAGAGAGATGTAGTATTTTTCTTGTGTCAGATTGGCAAAGAGTAAAAACAAGGTCGTACCCCCTCTAACTGATGGTCAATGTCTTAAAACTCGTGAGGGAACAGAATGTTTTAGTGATTTGTGTGGTATTGGCGGCCTGCTATCCAGTGTCCCTTTCAAATAAACATTGAGGGACGAGGTGAGAGAGAACACGGCTGATGTGTTCATGGCTGTCCGTGCTTGGGGGAGGTTGAGCTGTCGTTCTAAAGATGCCGTTCATTGTGCCACTTGGGAAGCTGGGAGTTTTCCAGGCTCTTCCATACCGGTGCATCCTCTGCTGGCAGCAGCTCTGGCAGCACTTCCTAGTCCAAACAGGGGCTGCCCTGTGGGGTCTGCAGGTTTGGGGGCTGGACATCCTCCTGCGTGCCCTCAAGGGCTGGCTCTGTCCTGACACTGCTCCAAGCACTTACTGAGGCAGCAATTCTCTCTGCTTCCCCTTGGGGTCCCCTGCCCGGGAAAGGGGGTAGGTGGGGGCAGCCAGGGCCCAGCCCGGGGTTTCGTAGGGAGGGGCCCCGCATGCTTGCTCACTCACTCGCTGTGAAGGAACTAGTTCTAACCTCTTGATTCCTTTTGCCATTTCCTAACTGAGCATTTGCTTTTTTTTCTCTCTCCTTTTTGTTAATTTAAAAGAATTTTTGTTTTTGTTTTGTTTTGTTTTCTGATAGATGAGGGTTACTACCAGGGAGGAAGGTTTCAGTTTGAAACTGAAGTTCCTGACGCGTACAACATGGTGGTGAGTAGCCTGGGTTTGAGCTCGACTTCCCCAACCTGGCGATGCCTGCCCCTGGGCCTGTCACCCGTACTGGGCCTTTGCTGCCTCTGCCCATGTCCCCGGGGGGTGAGCACGCACCCCACGTGTTCCTGTCTTGAATGCCATTTGTCAGCAGAATTTTAGAGTTTCACTACAGAAATGGGTTCATTCAGCGGATAAACACAGGCTCAGGTGTACTGTATGCCAGGCCGTCTGCCTGTGTATTGTACGCAGGTCCTATTTGGTAAATAAGAAAAAAGGCATTTTTAATTTGAAACACTGGTTTTGTTTATGGTATAAGCCAAAATTCCAGAAGTCTGAAATGTGTGCATTAGAATTCCAGGGAATAGCAAGTAATTGACACCCAGACTGCATGTCCATCCCTCTATGGCCTGTCTCAGTAATGGTTACTCCAAATGCCGCCACATTCCTTTTGCTCTTGGGGGACCGCACAGCCACTGGGGAGGTGAGAGAAAGGCTAGAGAGCTGACAGTGACTCGCGTGGTGAGCACAGACACCTAGCGGACAGGAAGCTGGTGTGTGGGGTTCCAGGGAGGGATGCAGATGGCACAGCTGGAAGTGGCTCAGGCAAAATGGCTGAGAGCCGGCTGTCCTCCCCCTGTGGGTGTTCTGGGTGGCAGGACGTGTGCACTGTGCTCACGGTGTGGGTGAGGACTTGCCCCAAGGAGGCAGATTGGCCAGGCTGATGGGTGGAGAGCTGGAGTGAGGGGATGATGGGGAGAAGATGAGGAATCTCGGCTGGGTGGGATTGAGGAACCGCTGAATTTAAGATCCTGACGGCTCCCCACACCTGAGCAGGGAAACGAGATGTGCCGGACTCAGGGACAGCTCCATGCAGGGCTTGGCCCAAAGCTCTGCCACATGCTGTTACATCTTTCTCTCTCATTTGTCCTCTCCCCCTTGGGACACCTTCCCAATTATGGGCTGGTTGGCATCAGGAGGAGGAAGAGCCCATGTCCTCAGCACAGAGGCCCTGGAGGGCCTAGCTCCAGCCGCGCTTCTGCTCAGGCCCTCTGCACCCTCCCTTCCCCTTCCCCTTCCTCGGGAGCCTGGGGTGGTGCAGAGTTGAGTGCCGGAGTCCCCAACTCATCTGGACTTGCAGAGTGGGCTCCTAGTGTGTGACCCAACCTGCCCGGCTGGGGGTGGCCGCAGGGGCTGAGGTGACCGTGGCAGCAGGTGGTGACTTGTCAGTGATGATTCCCCAGCATGGTGGGTAGCCGAGGGAAGGGGCACTGGTGCCCTGGGGAGCTAGGAGGGCGCTGCGGCCCTGTGGTGCCCCAGGTCCTGGGGTGCCTCTGACAAGCCGGTCAGGAGAAGGGCCGCAGGTCTCCTGGGTATGACACACACCATGTTCGTCAGTGCAACTAGCAGGTCTGCCGTGGGCCCTGAGCTAGGAGAACCACACCCTGCTCGCCCTCTGCAGAGAGCAGTCCTGTCGGAAGGCAGCCGCAAGGCTGTGTGCACCGAGAGCCTCAGTGCCTGTGCCCTGGCTCCCTGAGCCGATGGCCAGGCGGTGCCCATCATGACATGATGCAGTGCGGTCACCGGATTGGTACCAAGAGCTCACTCCACTGTGTTGGTTAAGCCAAGACTTTCTCATTGAGCACTAGTTGGCCAGTTTGGGTATAAATCAGACTTTCTGTAAAAAGCCTGGTGGTATTGTACACCCTGCAGACCACAGAGGATCTGTGCCACATTTTTTTGAAGCAGGAGGATGGCAAGTTTGAAGCCAGCCTGGGCCATATAGCAAGATCTTGTCTTAACAAAGTGACGAAAAATGAATATACAGAATAAGAAACTTTTAAAAAATTTTCTTAGCTCTGCTATAATTTTTTTCTTGTTTTTGTCATCTTATTAGTCTCCAAAGTTTTTGTTTCACTTCTGTAGTGAAATGTCCGCCTCATGAGTTTTTCGTGTTATGAAATGCCTAAAGTGGCCCTTCAGACGCCAACGTGGTCATCTGTGGTTTTTTCTGGTACTTCTATAGGTCAGTCTTTTGTGCTTCATTTGAATGGGTCTGGAATAAAGGTCAAAGCAGGGATTTTTGTTTTTCAAGTGGTTAGTGGGTGAGGGGGACACTGAACAGCGTCCTCTTCCTCGTGGACTGGAAATGCAGTATTTGTCCCTCGCGTGTTAAACCAGCTGTACGCCAGGGCCTGGCCACAGACACGAGCCCGAAGGAGATGCGGGACGCAGGCCTGGACGCTTTGCGGTGGCAAGTATGGGCCAGGGAGGGTTGCAGGCAAGTTAGACCAGTGTGGGAGTCCAGGTCCACGCTTCCACCGTGGAGCTTTGCGTGTTCCTGGACCACATTTAAGGAGGACCTTGTGTGCCACAGGTGTTGGCTGACAGAGGAGGGTCTGTCACCGTCTGACTAGGGCAGACACCAGCCAGACTCGGGGCCCGTGGCGGGGAGGGAGGTGAGCTGGCCTTGCTCTGCCTCCTCCTGTCGCTGTCGGGGTCGAGTCACAGCCTAGCCTGCAGCACTGTCCTGTGGCCTGGAGCCTGGCCCTCCCCCTCCGCACAAGGCCTCGCTCCCAGAAGTAGTGTCGTTCCCGTCCCTTACTTGCTAAAAGCAAATGAGTGTGTGAGATGGACTGACACTCCCACCGAGCCCTGAGACACGTACGTTTGCACAGTAGGTTTCATCACTTTGGGAGGAAACGTGATTTTGTGAAATCAGAAAGCATAGGAGGGGCTGGGAAAGTATATGCCTTATATAAATAAAGAGCACTAGAAAAGCTGTAGGGAGTATACGGAAGAAGACGCAAGCTATAAAATGGAGTCGCACGGGACTGGGAGCCTGCTGCCCCAGCCCACACCGCTGGGTCCTCCAGGTGCGGACACTGACTGCGCACCGGCCAGGAGCCTGCTGTGATATGGGACCCCGTAGCAGCACTGGCAGTGCCAGGGCTCCTGAGCAGCAGCTCCTCTGCACCCCAGGAGGGCCGTCTCCTGCAGGGCCTGAGCAAGGTGCCGCGGACAGCAGGGCTGAGGTAGAGCAGAGAGCAGCTGAGCCAGCAAGCGAGTGAGCGAGTGGCTGGGTTCGTGGGAAAGCAAGGGGAACACAGTTCCTCTCGGAAAGGAAAAGGAGGTGCATGTGGCCAGAAGAGAGCCCCAGAGCCGTGCGTGCAGTCAGGGGGGCGCTTCTGGGGAGGAGTGAGGGTGAAAGCAGACGTGTGATGATTTAGATTTACGTGTTTGTGCCATTATACACACTCTGTATAATCGTGTACTCTAACGTATCACTGTATGTTAAATACCATATTATGTATCGTGTGTAGACATTTCTTTCCTCTCACTTTTGTTGTCTCTGAAAAGAATGTAGATCAGACCTTTATCCAAACACACCAAGTTGGGAATGTCACTGGAACATTTCATCCCCACAAGCTCCTTTTCATTCTTTCCTCCTCCTCTGAGTATACAATGGACAAAGACCCTGTCTAGGAAAATGTATGTAGCAACAGCATCTTCAAAATCATCAGCCAAGAAGCCCAGCATGATGGCACACACCTGTGATCCAAGTGCTTGGGAGGCTGAGGCAGGAGGAACTCGAGTTCAAGGCCAGCCTAAGCAATGTAGTGAGACCCTGCCTAAAAAACAAAAAAAGACCTCAGTCAAGGGAACAGGGTGTTCTTGCAAGGAGTAGTGATTTTCGGCTGTGGCTCAGTACTGAGGCACAGAGCAACCTGTGGCCTTCTGGTTGGAGTCGGGGCCAGGTGGGTGTGGGATTCTGTCCTGGAGTGCCCTGCAGACACCCACTGACAGCCGGAGTCCCGCACTGTCATCTTGCAGCCTTGTGGGCTCGGAGATGGTGCCTGAGCAGGGCGGGCTGCACTCGGGGCTGCAGGCTGCGGGCGGGGCCTGGACTCGGTCCTCACCACGAGACCCTCTGTGTTGCAGCCTCCCAAGGTGAAATGCTTGACCAGGATCTGGCACCCCAACATCACAGAGACGGGGGAAATATGTCTAAGGTGAGTGTCTTCCTCTGCCCTCCCGCTGGGACACCTCCTTCAGTGACAGCCCAAGTTGCCTTTGTGGGGCGGATTTTAGCTGAGGGGAGTGTAAGACGGGCAGAAGGCAGGAGAGGCCTGGGTCCCGCCCCAGGACCCGTCTCTGGCCTGCTGTGCCTGGCACCCTGCAGACCCTGCAGGTCCCTGGTGCGCAGGTGGTGGCACCACGGCCCACTTCCGGGGGTGCAGTGGTAGCAAACTGAGGATGTGCTGGTGCTTGGTCGGTTTTAAAGTCAGTCCAGCATTTGGACTTTCTGTTTCTGTGTCTTGTCCCTGTGCGGAGTGAGGCGGTGATGCAGCTGGAACGAAGACCCCTGGAGGCAGGGTGGGAGGGGGTAGAGGGCGTGGTGCGGAGGGGGTGGGCTTCCCGGTGGGGTCCTCTCAGCCAGCCTAGGGTGCCATGATCTGGCGCAGTTCTCAGCTCTGCAGGGCTGCCAGCCCCTCCAGTCAGCTTGGTGGGGAGCCAGAGCTGCTGGGGGCCTTCCCTCGGCCTCTGATCTGTCCCAGAAGTGCAGCCCGTGGCCCCAGCCTCCTGCATCTGTGTACATGTGGTCATTTCCTTACCTTACCCTCACGTTTATGGGTGGTGAACACACAGACTTCCACAGGCATGCCTTTTCCCAAGGGGTCTTCCTGTGCCCTCCCTGCCTGTAAGTATGGATCATAGGCCCCAGCCCCAGCGGTGGCAAGCCCCTTGGCTCTCCCTGTCCCAGGACGTGCTGGCCAGCTCTGGGGTTGCCACACTTAGCTTCTCCGTGTGGCCCTTGCCTTGGTCAGAACTGGGCCCACAGTGGGAGTGCCAGGCCTCGCTTTTACTGGCCTCTAGGAAGTCGGATGATTAGCAGAGGATGACAGCAGTGAGTAGGTGGTAGCCTGATACAAAAGCCACCAACCTTAAAGGAAACATTGTTCAGTTTGTATTAAAATAAAAAATATAGCTGGACGTGATGGCACATGCCTGTAATCCCTGCACTCTTGGAGGTTGGGGCAGGAGGATCATAAGTTCAAATCCAACCTGCGCAACTAGCGAGTCCCTGTTTCAAGATTAAAAAGGGAAGGGGATGCAACTCAGTGTGAAGGCCCTGGGGTCAAGCCCTATTACCACAAAACCAGCAAAAATCCATAAGCACAAAAGAAAGAGGAAAGCTCACTGGATGAATATCCTTGCGTGTAAGTAGCCCCTAGCACTCAGGAGAGAGATGGGCTCTGGCCCTGGAAACAAGTGCTGGCTGCATGAGTGATTTGCAGGAGAAACACATCTGCTGTTTCTCAGCCTCACTGGCTGCCGGAGAAAGGCGCACACGGGACGGAAGCAGGTGGCGGGAACAGCAGGCACTGGCTTAGAGGGCGCACAGGTGTGGACACCTGCTACTGGGCCTTCAGCCACACGGTCTGCACCTAACTTGTGTTGACGTGTGCTTGTGTTTCCACCTGGCCCTCTCAGCTAACTGCCAGGGATTTATCCCTACCAAGTCCCACGCTGGGTCACTGATGCCCAGTGAGGACAGAGGGCATGAGCCTGGCTGGACCTGACCAGCAGCCAGGTCTGCAGCTGACCTCTGGGTCTCTTGGGCCCAGGGCCTGAGGCCCAGCTCACCGCACGTAGCAGAGAGCATCTGCCAGGTTCTCCCCACAGGACCCTGCAGCACATGTGCCTTCTGGGACTCCGGAGCACTTCCTGTAGGTAGAGGCTGCCTGGCCCAGTTCTGTTGTCCTTTTGGGCCCTGCTCAAAGGGCTGCTTAGTCCTGCAGGGCCCTTATTCTGTGCCTGCCCTGTAGTCAGAGGCTCCATGTGAGGATGGAGAGCCCAGGTCAGAATCTTAGTGGTTGCACTTCAGCCCCTTGGTCCTGGAGTCCAAGCTTCCGGTGTAGACCCTCGGGTATCCTTGTTTTGTTTAGTGAACTCCTGCTGGGATGTCTGCATACATGCTTCTCTGCTGGGACCACCATCTGCAAAGGCCAGGCTAGAACTTCCACAGCGACTGGAGCACTGCCCCTCTCATGGCCTAGTGGTCCTTGCTCCCCGGTTACCTGTCTCTAGGTGTGGAGTTCTTGTGCCCGCACTGTGCTGCTGGCAGGATGCTGGCAGGCCCCCTCATCCATCAGCTCCCTCCCTTCCTTCCCACCTGTCCCTTGCTCCCTGCTGTTGACTGAGCCAGGCTGGTGGAGAGCAGTGTCCTGCTTGTGTGGGGTGTGAGAAGGCAAATATAGACAGCTGGGGATTGTGCAGGGCCCCAGGAGAAAAGGACAGGCTTGGTCAGAAATAGTTCTCCATCCTAGTAACAAGCTCTTACTGGGCCAAAAAGCCACTAGGACTTCATAGATGACTCTTACTTAGAAAGCTATTCAAAAGTTGTGAAGATCCCCTTAAATTAGATTCACCTGCCTCTGTAGGGCAGAAAGATGTCCACCCAATTAGTAGAGTATGTCATTTTTCTTCTTCTCTTTTTAAAGCTCAAAATAAATTTTTTGTGTTTTTTGTTTGGGCGTTTGTTTGGTACCAGGGATCAAACTCAGGACCTTGCACTTGGGAGGCAGGCGGTGGTACCACTGAGCTAAATGCCCAGCCCTCAAAGTAAATTTTAATGGTTAATTTTAGGTTGATTATATTTTTCTGGTTTTCATAGACAGTTAAGATTATAGTTTTGATTCAAAGTCTACATATATACATGTTTTCTCCTGATCTAAACTGACTGATGTGAATTTGGACATACTGTACTCTAGTTAAAAGAAAATTTGTCACAGGTAATAATTAGGCCCTTATAAAAGCCTGATGTTACCATGTTAGCTTCTGTGTATAGATCAAAGCCCTGCACAATATAGTTAGAAGCTTGACAGTAAATTGCAGTTTTTGTGAAACAGGAAATCTCTCTCTTTTTCTTTTTTGGTACCGGGGATCAAACTCGGGACCTTCTGCTTGTGAAGCAGGTGGCGGCACCAATAAATTGCAGTTTTTGAAGTATTGGAAATCATTGATGTGAGAAAATGTACTGTGCCTCCACCACTGATAGAAGAGTTGTGAACATGAACAGGAACCGGGGGACCCACTTAGGAAGCAGCACCCCTCTGCCCCTCTGAAGCCAGGGTGTGCCACCCTCACCCAGTCCAACCCCTCCGGGGGCTGCTGCCAAGAATTTTGCTTTAATCAGCTGAAGTTTCCCTTTGGAAAAGCTTTTAAAGAGCCATGCATTAAGATGTCGTGTTCAGGAGCTTGGGTCATTGAGAGCCTGGGGGTGGTGTGGGGTGTGGCTCGTGGGGCTGCCCGGTGAGCTGTGTCCGTCATTCCTAAGACAGTAACGGTGGCGCTGCTGCACGGTCGGAGGCATCACCTGGACTTAGGGCTGTGCATTAGATTAGGGTTCTGCCTGACACACAGGTAGTCACCTCAGAGCCTGTTCCTCCTGTGGTTGTTTTCGTTGGCGTCACTCTGTGAATACTGAAATGACAGATGTTCTTCCAGCGTTGTTTGAAGCATGCTGAAAACTTGCGTGTCAAGGGTTAAAGATCTGTGTGCAGGTTGACCAGAGGAAAGTGCACAGACGTTATGATGGAGTGTGTGTAGCCTGGAGTGGAGAGAGTCCTCAGCAAGGGCAGAAGCCGAGCAGCTGCCGAAGAAAAGTTGCAGAAGGACTAGCTCTCGCTGTGCCGCACGGGGACGGCAACGCTGAAGGACTCGAGTCACTTGGGGGCACCCACAGCTCAGGTGACTGTCGGCTGCTCTGCGCTGACCACCTCGCTTTCTTTGTTTCAGTTTACTGAGAGAACATTCAATTGATGGCACTGGCTGGGCTCCCACAAGAACATTAAAGGTGAGCGCCAGCGCCTTCGGGTCCCAGTCCCCCCCAGCCTCGTCCTCAGGCACTGCCTCCTGTGAGAGCAGCGCACGGCCAGGTCGGCACTGGCTGGATACGAGTCCTCCTGGGTCAGCGACAGTGCGTCCAGGGGCCAGAGGGAGGCCTGGGTGGGTGTCAGCCACCACAGGAGGCTCATGGGCCTTGTTACGGGGATGGCTGGAGACCGGTCCTCGAGAGAAAGAGCTGCACACTGGTGTGGCAGGACTGTCACGTGGCGGGCATCTGTCACCAGCGGGGCACCTTGGGGACAGTGCAGGGAGGGAGCGTTGGACTGGCCTGGTCTCAGGGAAGCTGCTGACCTTATGACACCGCGACCCACTCCCTCCTCCCCTGCAGCCTGTGCCTGGCTGCGCTCCCTGGAGAGTCCCCGCTCTGCAGCCCTGTGTCTGGCAGAGCCCTGCTCCTCCTGCAGCCCCACTTGGAGGAGCCGCTTCCTCTGGGGGCCTGTGCTCTGGGTGAGCCTCCTGACCGGCCTGCCTGGCCTCCACCTCCTCCCTCCCCGCACAGTGCTTGTCCTCCGCTCCCGTGCTGCCTGGCGCTCAGGGCTCAGGTGCACAGGAGAAAGCAGATGAGGGCCAGGGTGGCTGCCAGCCAGTGGAGTATGGGCAGCTGTGAGAGCAAGCTTACAGAGCACTGGCTTTCCAGCTGAGGCGCAGGGGCCAGAGTCTGGGGTTGCCATAGATCCACTCAGGACAGACAGACAGCACAGGTTTCCAGTTTTACTTGAATGAAAATCTCTGACCCTTGAAGTATGTACCTCCCTTAATTGTTGAAGGAATGAGAGCAGAGGTAATAAGAGGGCTTCGGGGTAGGCAGTTAGCTCGTCCGCGGCCCCAGGCTTTACTTTAAAGTCGCTCCTCTGAAGACTGCAGTCTGTGGTGACAGGTGGGTGCCTGAAGGCGGTGCTCGTGGCCCTGCAGCCAGTGGCTCGAGCCCGCCCAGGGCCTGAGCAGAGGGCGGTGTTGTCCCTTTGATTTGACTCACTTCCCAGGGCTTGTTACAGCTGACGAAAGGTTGTTTTAATGTGAAAGGTTGCTTTCTTTCCCTGTCTCGAGGAAACAGCGAGTGTGAGGGCAGGTTTTGACGTGGCGCTAGGCATGTTTCTGGGTCCTGGGTTTAAAAGACTTCAGTCCACAGGAGCCTGAAAGTTGTATTCTGTTTTCTTTCTGCCTCAGGACGTTGTCTGGGGATTAAACTCCTTATTCACTGTAAGTATGCCGGCAGCGCTCCCGGGTCCTTGGTTCCCTGGCCTGTTTGGGACGTGACCTTAGGGTGCGCAGGGGTCAGGTGCACCCGCGCGCCTCGGCCTCTTCTCCATTGCTCTCACGTGCAGAAGTGGAGCTGTGACACAGGGCCGGGGCAAGGGAGCGACACTCCTAGGTCCTGCAGGCGCATGGGCCCTGATTGCTGCAGTGTCCTGGAGTGGGTGGGAGGCACATGCAACCTGAGCCAAGGTGGTCCTGTGTCCATGAGGGGCCAGCTGCTGGAGGCTGCACCGGGCAGGCACACGGGAAAGTGGCAGTGGGGCTTTGGATGTCATCTTTGCTCCCTCACCTCATAAAAGGGCTTTCGGAGAAGTGAGTTTCAGGGGTCCCTGTCTGAGTTAAAAGCCCCAGGCCCCTCAGGGAGGCAGAGCCAGCCTCGGAGTCTGGGGGCAGCCTTGGCTGGGGCCCAGGGCACAGCGCCCCACAGCAGGCCCGCTGCACCTCTCGGCCCCGGCCGCTACTCTTCCCCTGTGCTGTGGGGCAGCGCTGGGCTTGAACCCAGGACCTTCACACTGAGCTGCATCTGCAGACCTGTATTTATTTATTTATTTATTTATTGTACCAGGGATCCAATTCGGGACCTTGCGCTTGTGCAGCAGGTGCCGGAACCACTGAGCTAAATCCCCGGCCCGTGTATTTATTTATTATTTTGAGGTGCAGTATTGCTAAGTTGCCCACACTGGGCTCCAACTCACAGCCCTCTTGCCTCAGCCTCCCACAGTGCTGGGATCACAGGTGTCCAACACGATGCCCAGCTAGTATTCTTTTTCTTGTTTTGGTACCAGGGATCGAACTTGGGACTTTGTGCTTGGGAGGCAGGCGGAGGAAGCACTGAGCTAAATCCCTGGCCCCTAGTATTTTTTTCTCTTCAGCAAAAACAAAGCTAGTAGCGCTTCACACTAAGCTGTGGAAATCTGGTGCAACCCCACTGGCTGCCTCAAAGTTTCAATGCCTCAGTGTCCACATCCTAAAGAATCAGTCAAGAGTATGAGTTCAGTCTGCAGTGTTATTCTAGTCAATATATTCATCTTAGGGCAAAATGTATGGTGAAAATGTTAAGCAATTTTGTGTATCTAAAGTAGCCTTTCTATACATTAGGAATTATGTAAAATACACAGTTTGGTTTTGCCTGTTTTTAGAACTTGGAACATAAATTTCCAATACTGAATAACCATAGAGAGTTACCATTTTCATTTGCTATGTTTCTAGCATATTACTGCTTACAATCATACTTATTTCCAAACCAGAGTACAAGCCCCAAATGTAATATAGCTCCTAAAGAGGAACATAATGGCCTTTCCCGTGACCTGTCACTGTGTGTACTCTGCAAAGCAGTGATTCAGGAGCAAACCTTGCTAAGTGTGAAGGAGAGGCGTGTGCAGGTGAGATGGGCTCTGCTCGAAGTCCACACGGCTCTTGGTTAGCGAGGCGAGGAGCCAGGAGCCAGGCTGATGGTGCTGTGCACGTAGTCTGGCTCCTGGCGATGATGCCCCCTGGGCTTCGACTGCTGCCCAAAGGGAAGTCGGGGAGATGGGCGAGGTCAGAGGGGAAGCTGCCGATGCTCAGGGCCACGTGTGTCAGTCACTAAGGACGTTAAGAGGAAAATGAATGTGTCTAAAAAGAACAGGGTTTTTATTTGGGAATACTCGTAGTAGGAGTGGTTGGCTTTCTCTAGTTATCTGAAATAGAAATTAATGTGACTTTCATGTCCCACATTGGGACAGCTGTGTCCCCGACTGCCACCAGCAGCTGTCAGAGTACCCAGAGCAGTCCTCAGCTCGCCCAGCCCGCCTGCCACTCGCTAGCTTCCTGTCGCTGCTTTGTAAAGTGATAGCTTAGGACAGCAGAACAATAGATCATTTCCAATTTTTACTTTGAGTCTCTCTCATTTAAGGATCTTTTGAATTTTGATGATCCACTGAATATCGAAGCTGCAGAACATCACTTGCGGGACAAGGTAAGCAGGTGACAGGCTTTTCCAGCCTGGCATGTTTGGTAGACAGGGACACCGTCTCTGGCTAGATAAGGGAGGAGTGGAGAGCAGGGCCGGAAGGTGGAGCGAAAGGCATTGCAGTCAACTTGTGGGATCCTAGCAACACCTTTTACCTGGGGCCAGAGAGAAGCGGTTTTGTTAGATGTGGTTTCCTAGTAAAGGTCAGGGTGAGGCCTGTAAAGCAGGCCAGGATTCCTTTCCCTTGGGAACAGGATGGGAACCTGCAGGGGGAAGGGTAGGGCTGCGGCACACCATGGACTGAGTGACCACCCCTCGATTTCCTGCACTCTGCCGGGTCAGCTGACTACCACTCAGCTTGCCTCAGGCTCTGAGCAGAGCTCCAGACGCCCCTGGCCCCAGACTGCAGTTTGGAATGCATCTGCTCATCCTGCACCGCAGCCTGTGCCAGAGCTTGGGCTCTTTGTGGGCCTGATGTGGGCTTCACCTGGAGGAGGCAGGCCCAGGTGACAGGGCCAGAAGGCCAGGGTCTTGCTTCCCAGCCAGAGCTTTTGCAGTAATTCCTGCTGAGTTGACAGTGTGGCCTGGCTCTGGGGACGATGAAGTGGCCTTGAGGACCTTTTGCTGGGGGTCTCTCGGTCCATAGCCCCCCATTGGCACAGGCCGTGGGGCTCAGTGAGAAGCCATGTCTGGGGACAGGCATGAGGAGTTGGCACCCATCACCAGGGAGCAGGTCACAGGGCAGGAACTCTCCCAGCCAGGGGCAGTCGTGCTGGAGAACGCCCCTGTGCTGACCCAGGTCTGGCTGGCCTAGCCAGTGACCCCTGCAGAGAGGGCCGAATTAGGAGTCTCCCATGAGCACATGTGGCCCCTCGCATGCACTGGCCCAGCTCGTTAGGGCTAAGCATACAACCCAGGAAATGAACTCTGACAACGCTGCCGTGTACCCTGGACAGTGAGGGCTGTGTGGTGCTCCAGACCATTTCTGGCTCAGTCCCATGGAGTTTCACATCCCTGGGAAGCAGATCTGGGGACAGACCTGGAGCCGTGGCCGAGATCTGAGCAGCCGTCCTGCCAGAGGTGGCCTGGTTCCGTCCTGGGCTCCCGTTGCCTCCTCGTCCCCAGAGGCCTCCAGGCACCCAGGCAGCCCGGGCTGCTTCTGGCTGTTGCGGGTGGAGCTCCAAGCACGCCTTCCCCTGGGTGTCATGGCCACCCTACAGGTGTGGATGGCTGTATGGGGGCCTCGAGGGCGGGCACAGGCCAAGTGGGCAGCAAGTGCCCCAGGGAGTCCTGCCAGGGACAGATCTGGAAAGTAGGGTCCTCCTGACAGCGGCAGCCAGTCTGCACTGTCTGCAGGCAGCGTGTAGCTTTGGGCCGAGCAGCTTTACCCTCCCTTCTGCGTGGTGAGGTCTGGGCAGGCTCCTCCTCCTTCTGGCTGTGCCCACCCCACCCTGGGTGGTTTTACGCTCCCTCTCCCTCCACAGGAGGACTTCCGGAATAAAGTGGATGACTACATCAAGCGCTACGCCAGATGATACAAGGACATGGCAGGCTGGGGACCGCGCAGCCTTCCTCCTGTCTGGACCCTCAGCCCCACAGGATTGTTCCCGTCCTGTGACCGCACTGTCCTGGCGAAGACTGTCCTCCTGACTGCCCACTGTAGATGGAGAGTGCAGCATAAATACAGCGAGAAAGTGTGTCTGGGCCTCTAGAGCGTTGTCTGCTTCCCCTAACATGTTTACTTCCCTGAAACTGCTGTCTAGGCTGACAGTGGGCCTGAGGCGTCTCGTCCTGAACTCGGCCTGGGCTTGCGCTTGCTCCCCTGCCCTGCACGGTGGTCCCCTGCACGGTCTCCGTGCCGTGTCCAGTGTCCTCGCAGATTGGCGCGTGATGGGATGCACATTCGCTTAGCTTCCTCCGTGAACGTCAGCCCTGCCTAGATGTGAAGCCTCCCAGAATGCAGTCATCCACTGTAGCTCTTACTGAAATGCACATTTTATTTAATGTAAGTCTATTTTGGAACAGATTTGTAATTTGTACAATTCAATGCTTTTATTTTTTTCTACTCATTTAGTTTGTATTTTCATTGTATAGAGCAGACAGAAAGCTGTGGGGTCAAGCAACCATTGAAGAGAAATACAGAGCAACTCTGAAAGCCACATTACTCCTGTACCAGCATTTGCAGCTGGGTCTGGCTTGTAACACAGCTCTTGCTTTCAGGTCGAGGTGGCCGGGACATCTCGCAGCCCTGTGAAGCTAATCTGGATGATAAAAATAACAGACAGGGAGCTCTTTCTCACATGCTGCCTAGCGGAAGCTGGGTGGGCCAGGCTGCTGGGGCTTGGGGTTCTGCAGCGGGCACAGGACTGGCGCCAGCAGCTTCTGTCAGTGGAGAGATCTCGGGGTTTGGTCTTGCAGGCCTGATGCCCCCACACCTGCACCGTGGCTGGCTCTGGGTCCACACTGGTCCAGGGCCTGTGGGGGGGGACCAGGCCCCTGCAGGGCACGTGCCATGCTGGATTAGGCTAACACATTCATAGGAAGTGCATCACTCCGGCACTTAGACATCCAAACAGTGAGATCAAATGCAAAATAAACGCGTGTCTGGTTTCGTTTGCTGCTGCCTAACACCTACATGGGCTGCTGCAGGCTCCTGGCTTCCTTAGCAAGGGCCTGATGGTGAGGGAACCTGGCCCAGCAGGCAGACAGTGCAGCCCCGGCTTCCTGCTGAGGTCAGGAATTGCGCTCCATAGAGCTGGGGGCCCAGCAGATGGCCCCCATCTGGGTGCGCAGAGGGAAAACACCTCAGCGGGCAGCTCAGGAAGCCCACCTGTGCCTGAGAGGCACAACACTGCCTCTGCCCGGTACCCACCAGCCTGGCTCTAAGGCACCCTCCTCCGGCTGTACCACCACACACCCGAGTCTGGCCTGGTGCTGGACATGGGTCTGCCTCTGCAGAGGAGAGAACGCCAGAGCCCATCGCTCTGGATGGGTGTGTTCCGGGCAGGAAGAAAAGACCACGATGGACCACACTGAGCAGAATACCAGTTACTAGTTCTGACTGCAGAGTATTTTTGTAGTACAAACATCCTTATTATCAGAGATTAACTCTTTAAAATGGACTTTTCAAGCTGGGCATGAAAGCACATGTCTGTGACCCCAGCACTCAGGAGGCTGAGCCAGGAGGGTAGCTTTGAGTATAAGGGCAGCCTGAACTACACAGCAAGATCACCTGTCCTGTCCCAAAAGAAGGGACATGTCCATAGCTGAGTCAACCACTCTGTCCCGTGGAAATACAGCCAGGCTTGGCCTCTCAGCACTCAGCGTGCTGAGTGTTCCTCCATGGGCCCCCTGGGACTTGCTGGTGTCTTTGGGACCTCAGACTCCAGACTTTTGGCTTTATGGGGTTTCCGCACTGAGGCAAAAGCAGCACCTCTGGCTGTACGCCAACCCATGCCCCCTGCTCATCTGGGAGTGGTTGACCTCTGACCTGTCATGGGTGGGCATGTAGGTGTGGCCAGAGGCTGGCCCTGGGCAGCTGGGACACCATGCTGGGCATCACATCCCACCAGCAGCTGGCACTGTGCAGCCTTTTGGCGGCTGGGGCAGGATAGCTGTTTAGATGTTGAGCCTGGGTCTGGACCGTGCACCTCTGGTGCTCGCCCTTGGCCTGCTTTCTCATCTGCTGTTTTCGGGGCACCGTGTGGAGGCACTGACAGACCCCTGGGGGGTTGTAGTTTCTGCCAGTCCCATCCAGCCAGGGGTCACCACTTAGGCAGCTTGTGTGGACACAGCCTAGTGCACGTCCTGGGGATGGACCCCACTGCTGCCCTTCCCCAGAGCTCTTGGTGAAAAGCTCTGAAAGCTGGGAACAACCAGTCATCCTGCCCTTCCCTGGGAACCCCGCCTTGCACACTCATGCTTTTACTCAGTAGCCTTCCTCTGCCCTCAGGGGTCTGAAAAATAAGTCCCAGTTCCATGTAGCCCAGCCTTTGTGGGGTGTCGGGTCAAACACTTTTCTTTTGGTACCAAGGATTGAACTCGGGGCATTGCACTTGCGAGGCAGCTGGTAGAACCACTGAGCTAAATCGCCAGCCTAAACAAACTTTTTATGTAGAAATTCAGTTGCGTCTTCGGCAGGTCTTTCCCAGCTACTTTGTTTATCCCAAGGTTGTTTCCACCTTCATCTACTTATGAATATTCAGTCTTAGAAATTCAGATGTCATCATTTCAGTATTTTTCGTAAAACATGGTGAGTAAAATGCTAAAATGTACTCATAGCAACATGTCTTACCATTCTTTTCCCAAGGAACTTGGAAAATGATAGAACCTATGGCAGTTCCCCCCCTTCCCTCCCGTGTTTCTGCTCAAGCAAGCAGCACCTGAACAGTTTGCCAGGGCCCTGCCACCCGTCTGCCTCACCTCTTGCCCTGGCCCATGGGTTACCAGAATTGATTTACTGAAAAACTAACGGTTTGAGAAAAGTTCTACCAAAAAACCCATGGTGCAGGCAGGCGTGGTGCACACCTGTAACCCTAGCACTGAGGCAGAGGCAGACAGATCGTGAGTTCAAGGCCAGTCTGGGCTACACCGTGAGGCCCTGACTCAGAAAAACAACCACCTTTGATGGAGGCGTTGCAGGCCTTGGATTTGTAGAGAATGCCTTTGTTTATATGGAATTGTACAAAGAACTCTTCAAAACCTTGCCTTTGTGCTTGTCAGTTTTCATTTCCAAAATTAAGCCAGAGTTCTCCCAGCAAACACCAAATTCTTAGCTAATGTCGGCGCCAGCTGCGGACATGAGTCCCCAGTGCTTGTGACCAGGCCCTCGGTGCAGCCGCAGGGGTCCGTGGTTGCCAGAAGGCACGAGTGACCAGGAGAGGGTCAGGTGAGCCCTCAGCATACCCATACCCTGCATGTTTCTCCCTGCTTCGGGACAGCGGGATACCCGCAGTTCCCTGTCCATTCTCCTTGCTGGATTCCCACCACCTCTGGGCCTCAGTCTCCTTCTGCCGATGTTGGGAGCTCATTTGAGGAATCTTGTCAGAACCCTGACTCTCACCTCTGGGACCCTGCTCCCATGGTCTGCTCTTGTTACCCTGCCAGCTGTGGTGGTGAACGGCCCTGTTCCTGCTGCGGAGAGTCTGGGCCTCAGTCAGTCTGAAAAGATGCTCAAACTTGTGCGTGGATCCCGGCTCTCCTGGGCAAGGAGACTGGCGTGTGAAGGAAACCTACTAATGGAGGGAGAGCCGGCCAGTTTCCGTCACTTTCCTTGGCACTGAGACGCAACACCCTCCACCCACAAATTAAAGGAGGAGAGGTTTATGTTGGCTCGAGGTTTAGTCCATGAGCAGCAAGGCAGAAACAGGAGGGCAGAGGACAGCCGCTCACAGCATGGTGTGCACTTCCAGGTCAGGCCCTGAGAGCCGCCTCTAACAGGCCCCTCCTCCTTCCACCAAGGCAGCTGTGCTCACCACTGGACGAATCCGCTGAGGCACACAGTGCCCGAGATCCAGTCCCTCCAGGGCAACCGGAAAGACAGTGGCCCACGGGACCAGAGACCACAGGAAGTGGCAGGATCCCACCCAACTGCTGAAAGGAAAATCACTTGCTGCCCATCAGGAGTTCCATTTCCAGCACCCTGTTCAGGAAAGAAAGCGCAATTAAGACCTCAGATGAAGTAAGATGAAAAGAATGCTTCCTTACAGACCTGTCTGTAAAGACCGACTAAAGGAAGGTCTTTCAGCAAAGGAAATAATAGAAGGGATCTTTATAAATTGTGGATAATGATTAAATTTAAAATTATACTAATGGTCCAAAGAGTGCTATTGAAAAGTAGAGGGAATAACGCATGTAAGTGCAGATAAGATTTCCTCATTCTGAGAGAATTGGTGACTGCTACCTGGAGACCTGATGTACAGGAATAGTGCAAGCCTGGCCTGGGCAATGCAGTGACTCACTGAGACTGTCTCAAATCTGAAGAAAAGGACTAGGGGTGTAGCTCAGTGGGAAGGCCCTGGGCTCAATTCCCAGTACCGCAAAACAAAACTAAAACACCTAGGAAATTTGAGTAAGACCAGCTGATTTGAGATCAATATCCTGATTGTGATCAGAGATGTAACCCATACGGAAAACTGGGTAAAGGATATCTTTTTTTGGTACTGGGGATCAAGCTCGGGACCTTGCGCTTCCGAGGCAGGTGGCAGAACCACTGAGCTAAGTCCCAGGCCAAGGATCTCTTATTACATCTGCATATAAATCTACAGTATAAATCTACATATAAATCTCAAAAATAACCCAGCCCCAACAAAGTAAAACGTGCAATGATTATCATTCAATAAAAACTATATGCAAAGAAGCAAATCAGACCCATGGTGATGGGTGGGAGTCAACAGAAACAGACCCATAAATAACAAATACACAAGTGACAAAAATGACCAATAAGAGCATTAGAACAGGGCTGGGGATTTAGCTCAGTGGTTTCGCCGCCTGCTAGGACCCAAGTTCGGTCCCTGGTACCAAAAAAAAAAAAAAAAAAAAAACAGCATTAGAACAGTTTAAGGAGGTGGAGAATATAAAAAGAAAAATTCAATGCCAGAAGAAAAGTATGTATCTGTGATGAAAGAGACACTAGAGGTTTTCTGAGAGATTAGATACTGCCCTAGAAAAGGCTCACGAACATGGAGATACAGCATTAAAAACAACCAAAGCCAAGGGAACAGCTCAGAGTCCCCCCCAACAACATGCAGTTCAGCAGGCTCTGGGATAACCTACAGTCACATGTCCCCAGAAAAGTGGAGGAGAAATATCTGAGAAAAAAAAATGAAAATTCCAAATTGAACACTATAAACCCACTGGTGTGAAAAGCTCAAACCCAAAGCATTGAGAACATGAAGAAAAAAACCACTCCAAGTCACATCAAATCAAACTGCGTAAAAGCTGTGATAGAGCAAAAGTAGAAAGGCAGACAAAATAAAATCAGAATACACAGAGGAATACGTAAGTGAGACAGCAGATTTCTCACTATACACAATGCAAGCAAGAGTAGTGGTGAAACATCTGTGAAGTACTGAAAGGAAAAATAGGCTAGAACTTGGTCTAGAGGAACTGTCCAAAGATGATGGCAGAGGCAGGACTTCACAGCTGGGCATGGTGGTGCCCATACTCCCAGCACTCAGGAGGCTGAGGCGGGAGGACTGCACAAGTTCCAGGCCAGCCTGGGGTACATCTCTCAGAGAGAAAGACAAGATATCACACACCTATAAAAGCTAAAAAATCATCCCAGTGACTAGCACTTCAAGAAATTTCAAAGTTCTCAGGCAGAAGCAAGGGTTCCAAATGGAAATGTGGAGTTACTTCGGGGCCTCCTGGCCTCGGCCACCTCGACTGGGGCAGAGCACTGTGGAGCAGGACGCTGAGTGGCAAAAACACCTGCTCCCTGCAGGTAGGACTGGAAATGTCTTCAACTGTGCCAGGCACTTGCATTCCATGACTCGTATTTCTCATCTTTTATCTTTCTGAGCTTGTTTCAGAATCCGAATTCTTAGGCTCTGGCTTCTAGGTCACTGATTCATTACTCAGCTGTGGATATTCTGCTCTTCAGACCATCTACTGAGTAGTTTTGCTTCTTAGGTACAGACTTTGTGTTTTAGAACAATTTTAGGTTTACATCAAAATTGTGCAGAGAGCTAGCAGGTCGTGGTGGTGCACACCTGTAATCCCAGCATCTTGGGAGGCTGAGGCAGGTGGATCCCTGTGAGTTCAGGGCCAGCCTGGGCTACATAGTGAGGCTCTGTCTCAAATAAAAACAGAACAAAACTGTGCAGCATTTGCACCTCCTCCCTGTCCCAGGACACAACAGCCTCCCCTGCAGTCAACATCTGCAGCAGGACATCTGTCACAGCTGATGAACCCCAAGTCATCACGATTCCCAAAGTCCACAGTTTATATCTGGGGTCACTCTTGGGGTCGTACACTGTATGAGTTTGACAAATACATGACATATCCACTGCTGTAGTATCATACAAAATACTGTCACTTCCCTAAACACCCTCCAGGCTCTACCTATTTTTGGGTTGTTTTTTGTTGTTGTTGTTGTTTTGTGTGTTTTTTTGGTACCGGGGACTGAACTCGGGTCCTTGCGCTTGCGAAGCAGGCGGTAGAACCACTGAGCTGAATCCCCGGCCCATGTTTTTGGTTTTTTTGAGACAGGCTGGTGATGTGGCCCATGGCAGCCTGACACTCCTGGCAGTCCTCCTGCCTCAGCCTCCCGCACCCTGGGACTGCAGATGTGTGCCCCCGTGCCTGGCCTCGCGTGGCTTTTGGACTGCTTAGCCTGCCCAGAAATGAGCACATGCTTCCTTCACGGTCTCCTTCCTCCCTCGCCTATCCTCAACACTGCGCGCGCTTCCTCTGCCTTTCCCCTCTCGCTGTCTTCCGCTCCTGGGCGCCACTCGCCCCCTGACCCCGGCTGCCCTTTGCCACTGGCTGCACCTGGCGAGAAATGAGCTCCGGTAGCGCCGGAAGTCAAGTTCTGGACCCAACAGGCCGAGGCCTGGGAGGCTGCGCGGGTCCAGGGCGAGCTGAGCTCCTGATCTGCTCCCATCGCCCTCTCCGTGCACGAGCCGTGGCAATTACCTCGGTGCCTCAGTTTCCCCATCTGTAACCCGGGACCGCGCGTCCCCCCACTCCCCCGATGACGTTACCAGGATTAAGTTAGTGAAGTAGCTCTGCTCGGCCGACTGGGCCTGGGAGACGTAAACTGTCACAGTGCCAAGGTCAGCGGTCGGCGTCTCCGTCGGAAGCGGGCACTGGATCGCTCCTCACACCTCCCGCGCGGCTGACCTCGGCTCGCTCACGCGGCGGGGCCAAATAGCCCTCTCTTCCCCTCCACGTCTTCGTCCCCGGGCCACCCTTTCTGCTCGCTCTTCCTCGGCCCCACGTCCTGCTGTCCCCAGCCCGTCTCACCCCCGTCTCACCCCCGACACGTACCCTGGATTTGTCCTCCCCGCGTGTCTACCGTCCGGCTTCCCTAGCAGCCTCTCTACATATCCGCAAATGGTTGTCTCACTTCACTCCGTCAAAATCAGGGGAACGACAGGCACCCGCCCGCGGAACTGCACCTCTGCGTGGGGCGCTTGGGTCCAGGGGCACAAGGTCTGTCTTCGGGGCACGCTCCTCGGTGCCTGGCCCTGCCTCGCGCACAGCTTCAGCTGCTGCTGAGCCAAACGTTGCACCGTGAGTCTCGGCACTTTTCTCCAAGCCAAGTTTGCAGCGTAGAAAGGAGCGGCATGGGCTGGGCTCTCAAGGGGCTCACGGCCCGGCGGGGAGGCGGACAGAGGCCGGCGACCGCGGGGCTCCCAGGCCGGACCTCTGGTGCCCGCCCGGCCGAGGACGCCCCAGCACCGCGGCGCTCGCCGGCTCCCGGAAGTGGGCGCGGAGGCCTCTCGAGGACGCCCCGCCCTCTCCGGAGCCCCACCCCCGTCGTCACCTGGCCTCACGCAGCCAATCACCTGCTCTTTATGAGCCACCGCCCTCTGGAGCGCTCGGATTGGCTGGAGGCGCGCTCCCCAGCCTATCCGGATGCGTCCCGGGCCCTGCGGCCCCGCCTCCCCCGTGGCGCTCGAGTCCCTGGGTAGCACCGGGGCTGCGGCGCGGAGTGGACGGGCGGCGAGATGGAGGTGGCGGTGCCGGCGAGGGGTGCGCGGGGACGGGGGCGCGCGGGGAGCCCGGCCGGCGGCCACCGAGAGAAGAGCCCGCCGGAGAGGTGCGCGCCGGGGAGCAGGCAGCCCGGCCTCCTCGGGAAGCCCTGGGCCACCCGGCGCGAGGCGCCTGAGGGGTCAGCCCGGCTCGGCGACCCGGGGGTCACTTCGGGGCCGGCGCCGTCGCTCGGGGTCGGGCTCCCTCGAAGTCGGAGGTCACTCGGGCCCTGGCGTGGCCCCCGAGTTGGCGCCCCCTGGCGAGCGCGCCTCCGGAGCGCCCTAACTCTGGCCTAGGCCGGGTGACCCCGGGAAGCGAGACCTCCGGGACGCGACTCCAGGCGGGGCCGGGACCGCGGGCCTCATCTTGGGCGGCCTGGGGCCGCGGGGAGCCGGCGTCGCCTGAGGGTGGGTGTCGGCGTGCAGGTCTGAGCGGGGCGCGGAGTGCGCGTCCTGCGTTACAGAGTTCACTGCGGCCGCTTCCTGCGAGAACAGCGGGGCGGGCAGGGACGCTGAGCCGTGGGGACCTTTAGTGACGCACTGGGAGGGACCCAGGGGACGTGGGCCAGGGAGAAGCCACAGGGCTCCTGGTGTCCTGGAGGACAGGAGGGGTCTGGCCGGGGTGCTCGGGGCCTCCACACCTGAGAGGCCAGGTGGGGCTGCCTGACGGGCGGAGACCGCGCTGCTTCTGGGGCCCTTTCCCAAGGGGGAGGAAGGAGCGAGATGCTGTGCACACACGCGAATCTGCTTCCTCCGACCTGGGCGAGTGTGCAGGGAGCGCTTCTCATCTTTTGCGCTCCTCTGCACCCTGCCTGCAATGTGAGGGCTGTGTGGGGTGGGGAACGCGCACGCGCGCCTGTGTGTGCGTGTGTCCTTAACTCCCGTTCCAGTGCAAATTTCTCTTTCGCTTTGACCAGTCATTCCGCTCTGGATGGACACGCTTAAGCTTTCCCATCAGGTACAGGTAGCACTTTAAGGCAGTAGCGAGTAGCGGAGCAGAATCATCTGTAAGATACTGGTCTGAGCTGCAGGCCACTGGTTAGCTCAGCCAGTCAGCCCGCAGCACTAGCGTGAAGCACCTGGGAACCCTTGTCTATAGGAGGCAACAGACCCGCAGCACTGAGAAGGTCTGGGCTGCTAACACGGTACCAGTGCAGTACAGCCCAATGGAAGACCCTGATCAGACTGCCCAGAGCCTGTAATATCGGGGGACTCTGCACAGCCTGTAGCAAAGGTGCTTCGTGGAAACTAATGCAATATTGTGCCCGATCTACAGCTTTTTACAAGAATTTTATTAGTGCATGTTTGCAATATTTAACCGAGACGTTCATCATGGGGAGTTGGTCCATGTGCATAACACATCCTATAGTTCTTTTCACCTCCCCTTCCCCTCCAGTCTCCAGCCACAGTTAGTAATCATACCTTTGTTTCGTGTGGGTGGGTTTAAAGGCTCTCATTGACTTTAAAACCAAGGAAAATAATTACTAGTATCAGGTAGGGTTGCCTCCCAAACACAGCGCACAGGTTTCTGGTCCTGGTAAAGAGATTCACAGGGAAACTCCTTGGTGACGGGGCCTCCGGGAATCTGTTCTCTGTGGTGGGTTCTTTGTTGGCTTAGGGATCAGTCCCTGCCATGTGGCACTGGTGGCAGGCAGTGCCTACTAACCCAGCACTCCAGGCTGCGCTGCGATTGCTCTGCTGAGCGGTGTCTGGACAGGAGCTCGTGTCCTGCTGGGACAGATGCTGTGCCTCTGTGGAGCCGGAAGGAGGGGAGGCCTGGGGTGCTGCCAGGGGTGGGGTGGGTCATTCTAGGCAGAGCTGCCCCAGGAGAAGCCCTGGGCAGGAAGGGGGTGCCCACACCCTGGAGCCCGGAGGCCGCCCAGGAATAAAGAAAGCTACTGGTGGAGATCCTGGAGCCGAGAAGTTCCTGAGGACGAGCTGCCCTCCCCAGCCCTCGGGAGGGTGATCCAGGCCCACTGACTGACTTTCAGTCCTGTACAGGGGAGGGAGAGGTCAGAGCTTCTGGAGACTGAGGGATTGTGCTTCTAGTCCCACGGGTGAGGGAAGCTCAGACAGGCCCTGCTCCCTCCCGCAGGAAGGTGTACATGGACCACAACGCCACCACTCCGCTGGAGTCAGAGGTCATCCAGGCGGTGACGGAGGCCATGCGGGAAGCCTGGGGAAACCCCAGCAGCCCTTACCCGGCAGGTAACTGGGAGGGCCTGGCCTTGGGGCTTTTTCGGTTAACCACAAATCTTCAGCTGTAAGTTTTGGTCTTTTTTTCTTCTGAATAGTCCAGATTTGTAAATGGAGCCTGGCTGATGCCATAATCTTTAACTTCTAGAGTTCATTTATTTATTGGTTTTGGTCCCGGGGATCGAACAGCAGGCACGGTACCACTGAGCAAATCCCCGGCTCTAGAGCTAATCTTTAACGTGCCCCCAGGTCAGTCACCCTTGCCCAGGTGAAGAGGTTTCTGATGCTGGGAAAGAGGTGCCCAGATAAGCTGCTTCTCTGTCCATCCCACGAAGACCGGGCAGACCAGGCAGGCAGCTCGCAGAGTCGGCTGCACAGCCGCAGGGTGCTTCACATCACCAGAATGGAGCGCAGTCCTGGCCTTTTTAAAAACAAAGTTAGCTTTAAAGTCATTATTGTCGCTGTAAGTTTTCTTATTTATCTTTTGATGTATTCTTAGAATGTAGACCTTTAAATTGGAGAGTTTGGAGAATACCTTTTCAGGTCAGCAGTGCTGTGGCAGCTTTATTGTGTCTCAGCTTTCCTGTTTAATGTTTGTGAGGAGCGCTGGGACGTGTGATCTGAGCTGGAATCCTGGTGGAAGAGCGTGGCTGTCCAGAGTCCGCCTGCTGCAGGCTGTCGGCCTGGTGCAGCTCGTGGGCTTTGCTGTCTTGGGCCGTAGGCTCATGTGTGCCTACGGCGTCTCCCGGAGCTGGGTGCAAGGTGGCTCTCCGTCATCCCCGCCCTGTGGGTTCATCTGCCCTGCACTGCTCCAGCCCCGCCCAGCGCGTACAAGGAGACTGCAGAGAGGATCATGTGGGACTGACTTTAAGGAAGATGTCGAGGCCCCGAGGGAAGAGTTTCCACACCCAAGCTTGTTTCACAGTCTTGCTTAGAATAGCGGAGAGTAAAAGTGGGCTGAGCCGTGTTGACCAGTGAAGTTGATCATAGAGCACCATGCAGTCCCCTGGCTCACGTGGGCGAGGGGCGTTACCCCAGCTGCACACGTGATTTCATCAGTGTCCCTCCCACACCTCAGAGCAAGTGCCTGGGCAGGTATGGGAAGTATTAGATCGTTTTGCCATGAGAGACCCGGAACCCAGAGTAACAGTGGCCCACACAGCTTGCGGGTGGTTTCTCGCACAGTTGGGGCCCACGGGGTGCTCCCTGTTACCAAGGATGGGTTCCTTATCCAACCTTCATGGTCAAGATGGCTGCTCCAGCTCAAGCCATCATGTCGGCAGTCCTGCCTGTGGGAGGGAAAGAGGTATACCTGAGTCATAAAGGGACACATCCAGCAGTTGCGTGTGACACTGTCCAGAGCTTGGTTCCACGCCCACATGCAATTGTAATGCAAGTTGGGAATGCAGCCTGAATCCCAGGCAGCCTGGCTGGCTGGAGTGAGGGTCCTGCTGCTGCTCAGCTGTGAGGACGGTGGCAGTTCAGCACAGTGGGCTGTGGTGTACCGCCCTGGCTGCTGCTCCGGGTCTGTCCTGCTTCTGCAGATGCCTCGGCCCGAGTGTGCCTTGGGTCTGATCCCGGTGCTTCTGCACGCACACTGTTGGCAGAGCGGGCGCCTTCCAGGTGCACAGGTGGGGCCCCCTCTGATGGGTCAGGGGGCCCAGAGTCCTGTGGCTGGTCCCAGAGGGCGGGGTTCAAGACTTTTCTTACTGTAGTCAGAATCCCTGTGATCTCAGCACTCTGGGAGGCTGAGGCAGGAAGACCTCAAGTTCAAGCCCAGCCTGGGCAGTTTGGCAGCTTAGTGAGACCCCGTCCCAAAGTAATAAATGAAAGGGTTGGGAATGTGGCTCAGGGCGAGGGCCTTGCTTGGGTTCCATCCCAGGACCGCAGAGCGGGAAGGGAAGGGGAGGGGAGATTCCCAGCATCTTCGGGGCTCAGGCAGGTTCAGAGCTGGTCGCGCGCTTGGAGGGTGGTGGATGGGTGGCAGGGAGCCCCAACTCTGCAGTCCAGGGAGGTGGGCGTCCAGTGGGCAGGGCCCAGTGAGGCGCAGGTGCCAGCTGCAGCGCCAGGTGCAGCGCGGGTCACTAATGCACACGACGCCCCCACCTCGCTGTTCCCCTGGAGACCTGTGCAGCGCGTTTCAGGTATGAGAATCGCTGTGCGTATTTATTTCACCTCATTTTTTACTTTTATATTTTATGATTTTTATACTATTTTTTTAGTAGTGCCTGCTCAAATTTATTTTATAAATAAGATTGGATAGTGCCAGGCCTGGTGGTGCAAGTCTATAATCCCAGCACTCTGGAGGCTGAGGCAGGAGGATCACCATGAGTTCGAGGCCAGCCTGGGCTACACAGTGAGTTCAAGGCCAGTCTGAACTACATAGTGAGGCCTTGTCTTAACCAAAACAGAACAAAAGGTTGGATAATCAGAGTTCTGGAGACCACCGGTCCGTGACCTAAGAATGGCCACTGGGGCCATCCCAGCACCCAGAAGCCTGTGTGCATGGCCGGGGGGCCCTCGGTTGCTGCGCAGCCCTCCTGCCCGGGACAGTTGCCGGTTCCAGCCACCTTGCACGGCGACCTCTGCACACAGGCCAACTCAAGCTGGGCTTCTTGTCTTGCAGTGTGGTGTTAATGCATGTTCTTGCCTCCTTCCCCTCTCTTGGCAGACGGCCACGCATCCCTCTTCTCTGGTGTCCAGTTAGAACAGCACCTGGCTCTAGGGAACCCAGGTCCCCGTGTCTCCCGTGGCTGTGTGGCTCTCACTCTGTTCCTTGAGTCTCCCTGGTCGTCACAGATTGCTAACCCCCGCCACTGTCTCTGGGCCGCTGTTCTAGTGGTAGCGCTGCTCCTAGGTCGCTGGCGCCCTGGGTGTGCTGCTTTCACACGTGCCAGTCACACACAGGAGTGGTGGTAATGGCTTCTGTTTTGGTCCCTCAAGGTCGAAAGGCCAAGGACATCATCGCTGCCTCCCGGGAGGCCCTGGCACGGATGCTGGGCGGGAAGCCGCAGGACATCGTCTTCACCTCTGGGGGCACCGAGGTAAAGGCTTCGCATCCTGTCAGCTGCAGTGGGGTGCACCACAGGAAGCGGCCGCTCTTGATACTGTTTCTAGCTGTCCGGACAGAGTAGTGCTGCACACCCTTGTGCTGGAATCTCCCTGACTAATTTATAGAAACATGACAGACTGAGCGTGCTCAGGTGGCAGGGGAACAGAAGTCTCACTGTACCAGAAGCCCGGCCCACAAGGCTCTCGCACTTCAGCAGGGCTGGACAGCTGGTCAGGGACAGCTGAGTGTGTGTGGACCTGTGCCCCGTGCCCGTGACCGTGCATGCTGGTGGCCAGCCTGCGCTGGCAGGGTTGTAGCAGAGCCCTCTTGCTTGTGGACCCAGGCAGTGCACTCAGAGGAAGTCACTGGACTTCTGCCTCAGCACACAGAGAAGTGACTGCAGGTGGGAGAAGGGCCAGATTATAAAAATTACATTTTTAAAGCTGGTAGCTGACGTGTTCCCATCCTCATGAGGTGTCAGTGACATTTCTCCAGCTGCAGATGGCACTCGCCACACAGGGAGATGCCGTGATTTCTGTCGCAGCAAAAACAGTGACCCAGGGGCCGGGGATTTAGCTCAGTGGTTCCACCACCTGCCTCAAAATCGCAAGGCCCCAAGTTTGATCCCCAGTATCAAAAAAAAAAAGTGGGCCCAGCTCGGAGTGTGAGGACAAAAGCAGAAAGACAAGCTAGGTGGTGGCAGGAGAGCTCAGCTGCCTAAGTGACAAGGATGGGAGTCCAGGGCCTCAGGGACCATGGACACCTGGGCGGGGCCTTGGGCACCCCCCGCCGGCCCCAGGGACACCCACGTACAGCGCTGGACCTTGGGCACCAGAGGCCCCTGGGCCACTCGGTGAGGGATGCGGCCACAGAAGGTGGATTGGAAGCCCCTGGGTGGTGGCTGCTCTGGGGAGAGGAGGCCTGAGACGTCCTGGGCATGCGGGTGCATGGGGCACGGACACGAGTGTCTCTGGCAGCCTTGCTCCGATGCCCAAGCCCTGGCAGCGTGAGTGTAGCCCCATCTGGGTGCCACAGGCCCTGCCGCAGCGTGGATGAACGCTGGCCTGAGGAGTGGCCATGAGTCACAGGGAGTCTCTCCTGGGAGCCGAGCCACAGGAGCCACAGAACAAGGCTGTGCGTGCCGCCCTGGGCTGGCCCTGTGACTGTGACAGCAGGGCTCCCTCTGCCCGACAGGAGGTGCTGTCCTTTCCCAGACCGCCAGCCCGGCGGGGCCCTGGTGGTGATGGTGCCTGGGAGGATGTGGAGGGCAGAGCCCCTGGGGAGAGCCGTCACTGCCAGGTGTCAGGAGCAGCGGCTCCCCTTGCAGGCCGGGTCCTATGGGGAGCATGCCCTGGGCAGGGCCATGGGTGCCACCATCACTGGGCCTCTGCTGTGACCCAAGGCCCCTTCCTTGGGATTTCAGGGTCACAGCAGCCACCTGTCCTCAGGCCTCAGCTTTTCCAGACCCAGAGTCACTGGTCGGGAGTTAGTGTTTTCTTTCTTCTTTTTCAGGGAGGGGGGCGTGGTTGTGTTTTGTTCTGTTTGGTTTTGGTTTTGATTTTGGTTTTTTTGAGACAGGGTCTCACTCTAATTCAGGCTGGCTCACTCTGTAGCCCATGCTGGCTTCAAACTCACAGCAGTCCTCCTGCCTCAGCCTCCCAAGCGCTGGGATTACAGGTGTGCACCACCACACTTGGTTCTGGAGTTTGTTTTCTGCCAGGCACGATTGGCCTCTGAAGGGACTCCTTGCCTCTGTAAGAAGTGCATCGAGTCCCCAGCACTGGGCACATCCTCCCCTCTCAGACCCACGCTGGTGTCCCAGCTCCTCCGCAGGGACATCCGTGACACATCGAGTCCCAGGGCACCACCTGGAAATGGAAGGGACCTGGCACTGAGGGGCATCAGCAAGCCCCGCCCTTTGGTTTCTGCTCCTTGAATAGACTGAATCTAACTTCGAGGGAAATTTAGTTCCATTCTGTTTATATGAAGCTCAAACCAAGACCAAAGACCACTGTTTAGGGAGGGAAGCAAATCATAAAGAAAGCCAGGACATGATCCATTCCCCTGGAAGTCGCTCTGCGGGGAGGAGTGGCAGGGTGGGGTCCAGGCACCCCAGAGTCTACCTGAGGACTGGGAATGCGCATCTGTACCTCATACCCTCTTCTGCTGTGTGTGGCAGCGGGGGAAGTGGGTGGTGATTAAGGCTTCCTCACAGCCCCGCCAGCATCTCCTCTCCCTCCAGGAGACCAGATGGCCTACGTGTTAAGAGCAAATAAGCACGGAGATGCTTTCTCCTTTTACCTTCTCATGGTGTTGTTTTTGCAAATGTGTCAGTGATACAAATCATAGGCTACTGTAGACCGGGTTTGCTCCTTTTCATCATGAGTATACACTCACGCCTCGGTACTCTGCAGCTTCCGGGCTCGCTGCATCTTGTACACAGATGTCGTCCTGGGGCTCCGGCTGTGTCTGGTGCTCATTCACAGCCTTCCAGCTTGTCGGTGCCTCACAGCCTTTCAGGAAACCACTCCTCCAGTACTCCTCCAGCTGGGTACCAGCCGAGCCTCCCAGAACCAGTTAACTATGAGTACCAAGGCCCCGAGGCATTGAGCGCCGGCCATGAACATGGAGAGTGTTTTCAGGCACTTCTGCTATGTGCTTGACTTTGCTTAACAACAAAGCAGACCTGGCTGACATTCTATGAGCTTGGTTTTTCTCCTTCTGAGTGAGACACGGTCAAGAGGGGAGAGGAATTGTCACCCGACTTCCACCAGGACCATTTCCGTAAGCGCTCTCTGCTCTGTCTCCGCAGTCCAATAATCTAGTGATCCACTCGGTGGTGAAACACTTCCAGGACACCCAGGCTCCTAAGGGGGACGTCGGGGAGCAGCAGAGCCCCAGGGAGGGGGCCAGGCCCCACATCATCACCTGCACCGTGGAGCACGACTCCATCCGTCTACCTCTCGAGCACCTAGTGGAGGAGCAGGTAGCCGGTGAGTGCATCAGGGACCGTGGGGGGACAATGTCCCTTCCACAGATAAACTGGATTCTGTTGCATGAATGTGCCACGGTTATTTGCCCATTCGTTGGTTGATAGACTTTAAATGTGTATAAATTTGTGTATAGACTGCGTTGCCGAAGCTGGCCCTAACCCACTAGTCTTGAGCGATCCTCCTACCTCAGCCTCCTGAAAAGCTAGGACCACATATGGACGCCACCGCGCCTGGATGTGTTTAAGTTTTTATGTGGATATTGTTCTTTCTTTGGGATTGGTACCCATGGGCACAATTGCTGGGCCATAGGGTAACTGTATGGGCCACTCCCAGGATAACTGTTGTTAACCTTATCCTTTGCTTCCCAAAGTAGCAACATTATTTTATCTTTCCGTTAACAGCATATGAGAGTCCAGTCTCCACAGCCTTTCCAGCATTTGCTGCATTTCTTATTTTAGTTGTCCTAGTGTGTAAAGTGCTTTTCATCCTGGCTTTGATTTGCCGTTGCTTGGTACCTAATGATATGGTACCTGTTTTCATGGACTTACTGGCCACTCGTGTGTAATTCGTAGAAGAAATGACTATTCAGATCCTTTGGATTGTTTATCTTTTATTTGAGCTTTAAGAATTTTTTTATATATGCTTGGAACAAATCCATTATCAGATGCATGATTTGCAAACATTTTTTTCCCCAATCTCAGGACTTTTTCTTCTTTCTTTTTTTGGGGGGGGGCGGGGGGGTTTGGTACCAGGGATTGAACTCTGCTCTTTGCGCTTGTGGGTCTTTGCGCTTGCATAGCAGGCAGCAAAACCACTGAGCTAAATCCCCGGCCCTTTTTCTTCTTTCTTGATGGCATCCTTTGAAGAACAGGTTTCTAATTTTGGTAATTGTTCTTGTTCCTTGTATCATATCCAGGAAGGCTTTCCTCTACCCAAGGTTGTGCAGCTTTATTCCTGTCTTTTCTTCTAGAAGTTTGTTTAGTTTTGGCTCTTTCAGTTAGATCTCTGATGCATTTTGAGTTAATTTTGCACATGGTGTGAGGTAGGAGCCCTTTGCCCACATCTCAGCTTCTTTGAGAGGCCTGTGGTCCTGAACTTCTCCACAGTGGACAGTGGCTCACACTCTTTCTTTATCTTTTTCTGAATGCTGAAAATAGACTTTTATATAGTCGTGGAAATTACATCACCATGAAGCTAATTTGTGTGGTTGGTGCTGATCTGTGTGTTTTGCATCTCAGAGGTCACCTTCGTCCCCGTGTCCAAGGTGAGCGGGCAGGCAGAGGTGGAGGACATCATGGCCGCCGTCCGCCCGGCCACCTGCCTTGTGACCGTCATGCTGGCCAACAACGAGACCGGCGTCGTCATGGTGAGCCATGCCTTTCCTCTCCTTGGCTTTGCAGCTTTTTGTTTGTCCTCATGAACTCACTTCTTCCATTCAGTCTTCATGGATCAGAGCCTGGCTCTTTATCCCCCCCACTTCAGCCCATCTCTGAAATCAGCCAGCGCGTGAAAGCCCTGAACCAGAAGCGGGCAGCTTCCGGTCTACCCCGAGTTCTCCTGCATACAGATGCTGCGCAGGTGGTGGGGAAAAGGCGCTTGGACGTGGAGGAGCTGGGCGTGGACTTCCTGACAATCGTGGGCCACAAGGTGGGTCTTCAGGGGCCAAAGAGTGGCCTACCCATCCAGTAACCCTGGACGCCCACTGTGAGCGAAGCTCTGGCTTTTTTGAGACAAAGTCTCACTATGTAGCCCACCCTGGCTTTGAACTCCCAGCAGTCCTCCTGCCTCAGCCTCCTGAGTGCTGGGACTGCAAGTGTGCACCACCACGCCTGGGCTGTGCTGTTTTGAAGCATAATCCTCAGCCAGTCCCCGACAGGACTTAACAGTTTTGCATCATGTCTGTTGGAGACATGGCCTCACGCGGGAAATGGCCTGGTCGATCTCTAGTTCCACGCCCTCTCTTCACAGACTTGCCTGCCATGGCGCTGGCACAAGAGTCCAGCGTCCGTCCGGCCTCTCAGCTGGGGCTCTGCCCTGTGCCAGAGGCCACTGGGACCCTTTGCGGGCCACATCGTCCCTGAGACTGGGTGCATGAACAGAGCAGGTCCCCAGAAAGTTCTTGGGCAGTAACTGACCTTTCCTTCCAGTTCTACGGCCCCAGGATCGGTGCACTATACATACGAGGCCTCGGCAAGCTGACGCCCCTGTACCCTATGCTGTTTGGAGGTGGACAGGAACGGAACTTCAGGCCAGGGTAGGTGGGTTGCCCGCCCCAGAGCTGCTGGCCATGCCACTCGTCAGGGAGCAGTGACTGCTGCTTCACGGCCTTGGTGGCAGTGTGACACGCCATGCCCGTCCCTGCCGAACCAGAGCTGGTGCTGCTGGTGGGTCCCACACTCGGGCTCACAGGTCTGCAGCCTCGGGCGGTCCAAGGCCCCCAGGAAAGCTCTCCTAGCCTAACTGCTTCAGGCATCCGGTGCCTGGCGTTGTCTCGGCCCCTGTGGGCTGTGGTGGCCCAGATGTGCAGCTGTGCCCTTCACTGGGGCTCAGCAGGCCGAAAGGCGCCTGGCCCCTTTCTGAGAGCTCCTGGGCCCCATTACATACAGTGATGTCTGAGGCAAGAGTCAGTTGGTTGAATTCGGTGATACATTAAAAAAATGTGGACCAAGACCAAGTGGAGTTTATCTCAGGGATGAAAGGCTAGTGCAGCATTCAAAAGTCAACCGGTGGGACCCACCACACCTGTCACTCAGCTTTCCACCCCTGGGGCAAAATCCCTGTCAGAAACAACGCGGAGGAGAAAAGGCTGATTTGGGCTCAGGGTTCGGTGTGGCCAGTGCATGGTCAGCTGGCTCCAGGGCGGGGCAGCATGGCGGCGGGGCTTGGCAGAGGAGAGCTGCTCAACTCAGGGCAGCCAGAGAGCAGAGAGAGCAAGGGAGCCATACGCTTCCTCCCGTGGGTCCCCTCCCAAGAGCCTATGCTGCTGCGGTCTTATCCCTGACCTGTCATCCATTGCTGAGGTTTCTGTACTTGTGATTCACTTGCCCTTACCCCACCTCTGGACATGAGCCTTTTGGGGAACACTTTTTATCGAAACCACAATACTATATGTAATAGATTGAACGTGTAAGAAAAATAGCAGATCATGTTACTTGATGCAGAAGAAACACTTGAAAAACCCCAACACCCATTCATGCTAAAAAGCCTCCGAATAATAGGATTAGCGGGGAATTTCCCAGCTGGAAAAGAGCATCTACATAAAGCTTACAGCCCACGTCAGGCCTTGTGTGGGGACCCAAAGGGTCTACCCTGCGACCAGGGACACAGCAGCAGTGTCTGCTGCCAGCACGCATATTCAGCATCGTGCCGGATGCCAGAGGTGCCATCAGTACAGCAGGGCACAGGAAAAAGTAAAAGCAAACAGGTCAGAAAGGAAGAGGGAGGGCTGGAGGTGCAGCTCTAGCATGCACAAGGGCCACATGCCAACCCCATGCCACAAAAGAAGTAAGACTACCCCTCCCCAGATCAGGAGAGCCCACGATGAGGGAGAAAATCCCAAGGAGTATACTAGAGAATACCTAGAACTAGTAAGTGAATGAATATAGCAAGGTCCTATGACGCTGGATAAAAGTTTTCAATCTTGTGTTCTTATATACTAGTAATGAACAGACGGACAACACAATAAAAACCATTTGCAATAAAATATCAGATCTAAACAAAACACATGGGACTTATATGCTGTAAACTATGCAGCATAGATGAAAGAACCCAAAGACATAATAAATGAGAGGCAAACCACGTTCATGGACTGGAAGATTCTCCGTAGTAGAGATGTCTGTTCTCTCTGAATTGCTGTGCACACCTGCCGTGGACTCCAGTGAGTAGATGAATGGGGCAGAAAACAGCGAGAAGTGCACCCGAGCGATTTCGACAGGGTGCTGATGTTCAGTGGGCAGAGCCCTTCATGAAGGTGCTGAGCAAGTAGACATTGGAGGGAAGAATGAACCTTGCAGAAGTCTCGCACTGAAAACACACTAACTCAAAATAGGTCATGAAATGAAATGTAAAGCACAAAACAAACTTAGAGGAAAAACCCAGAGAACCATCAGGACCTATGGCCAGGCAGTTCTTGGACTTGACTCCAGAAGCACCTGTGGTGTAAGATTTGGGTAAGTTGGGCTTCAGCAAAACTTAGAATTTGTTTTGTGAAAGGCCTTACTCAGAGCACAAAAGGACAGCTAAATACTAGGAAAAGGTGTTTTCAATGACAGACCTGGGAAGGGGCTGCTGCCTAGGACACACGGAGGACTCCGGACAGGAGAACCCAGAAGGTGGGCAAAAGACATGAACAGATGTTTCGCTGGAGAAGAAACCGAGCAGGCACATGAGTAGCCGTTCAGCGTGTTCAGTTGGAAATATGAGTCAGACCATGGGGACATGGAGATGTGGGCGGCAGCCATGGGAGCAGCAAGTGACAGGTGACCCGGGGCTGGGGAGGATGCTGGGAGAAGGTCACCTTCCGGCCAGCACGGAGCAGCAGAGGTCCAAGAGAACATTCAGCCAGGACGTAAATGAAGAAAAGTACGGAGTTAATGCTGTTCCCTCCCAAACAGTGAAGGCTTTGGGCTTCAGCTTGGTGGATGCGAGCACAGGAGCACCTGCCCCTCCTGTGCACACATGCGCACGCGCACACCACCCGCCATGCTGCGTGCACTGCCCGTGCAGGGCGTTCTCCCATCCCGCACTGCCCATGGGCTAAGGGCACAGTGTCAGGAATGAACACCCCACTGCTCCCCATCTAGGCTGTGCCAGGGCCCCGGCAGGGGGAAGGGGTCCCGACAGCTGCATCTGTCCGCACCAGCAAGTGTGGGCACATGTGACTGTCCTGGGCCGGGCGGACTCTGCTTGGGGGGTGCTGGGTGGCTGGGTGGCGCCTGTCTGGATGGGATGCATGGCTTCACCACGTGACTTCCACAGGGCTCCCTTCTGGCCATCTGCTTACTCTCCATAACCCCTGTCACCTGCAGGACAGAAAACACCCCGATGATCGCCGGCCTTGGGAAGGTAAGCCTGGCAACCCCCCAACCCCAGCGCTGGTGGACCAGGCTGCGGGAGAGCATGTTCAGGACCCCAGAACGGGCTGACAAGGGGAGCCCTGATTGCCTTCATGGCCTGGAGACCCGACTGGAGATCAGTCAGGTGGGAGACAACTGCCTAGCGTTTAAAAGGAAAGAGTTTGCTGGATGTGGTGCCCATAATCCCAGCACCGCAGGAGGCCGAGGCAGGAGGATCCCGAGGCAGGAGGATCCCAGCCTGAGCAACTTAGTGACTTAGTGGGACCCTGTCTCAAAATCAGAGTTGAAACAGGCTGGGTGTGCAGCTCAGAGGCCCTGCGTTTTGTCCCCAGTGCTGAAAGAAAGAAAAAAGTGAGAGGAAGGAAGTTTCCCTGTCCCAGCCTCTGATGGCAGCAGGGTTTTCCCCAGAGACCCACGGCTGAGCCTGTCCCGTGGCATCAGCTCAGGCCCTGGGGTCTGTGGCGTGCAGGCCACCGTGACCCAGTGCAGCCTGTGCCCTGCTGTTCACCGGTGGGGCCTGCAAGGGGCAGCAGCCGGAAGTGTGTGCGGGGCTGTGCCCAGGCCACCGCCCCTCTGTCCCGCACCCACCTTCCTCTTTCATCGCAGGTCCCTGTGTGTCCCACCCTCCACCCTGGAGTGGCAGCTGCCTGGGCTCGCCTGCCCCAGCCTCCCGACAGAAGGGCGGGATCTGGTGTGGGGTGCTGGTGGGTGAACACCCTAGGCAGCGCTCTGCCCGAGCCACCCCAGCCCCGCACTCTCTGGCACTGCATTAGGTCAGTGGCAGCCGAGGCGCCCGGAGCAAGCTAAAGTGCAAGCTGCATGAGGTGGCACTGAGGCCGCGCTGTGAAACCCTGCGCCCGGGGCCTGGGTTGGCGCCACCACCCTCCGCCTAAGGTCGGGTCACTCCCGGGGGCCCAGAGCAGGCGGGGCCACTGGCAGCTGCTGGACCCAAAGCTCGCAGCACCCCCCACCTGGGACCCCTCCCCGCCCTGTGGGTGCACCCGCAGCCAGGGGAGGCCTCCTCAGCCCTCCCCTGCTGCCTGTCCTCAGCGGCTTCACCGCCCACCTTGCCCTCTCTGCCTTTGGCACCTGCGGGTGGCTCTGCTGTCCACCTGGCCCTTGGGGCCCGATCCAGGCTCGGTCCTGACCCTCTCCTGGGACACCCTGTCCCAGTTGCTCACCGAGGGTGAGCTGATTCCCTTGGGGCCCAGCCCCAATTCTGGGAGCCCCGTCAGGCCCTTCCTGCCCCTGTCCCCCGCATCTGATGCCGGCTGCAGGACATCCAGGGCCTGTCGTCCCTTACTCGAAGGCCCTGGTGCGGCTCCAGCCCTGTGGGCCGGGGCTCTTCACAGGTCTGGGTGCTGTGGCCCATGCCCGTCCCTCTGGAGCTCAAGGCTGCTCCTGCGGCGTCCTGAAAGCACTTGGTGTGGGTGGTGCAGCACGGGTGGCGCTTGGCAGCGGCCGTAGCAGGGGAGCTGTGCCAGGATGTGCCACTCAGGGCCCGTGCAGCTGCCTGCTGTCCTCGTTCCACAGGACTGAGCAGGTCCCTGTGTCCCATGTCTTGTCCCCAGGCCGCCGAGCTGGTGACCGAGAACTGTGAGGCGTACGAGGCTCACATGCGGGATGTCCGCGATTACCTGGAGGACAGGCTGGAGGTGAGCAGGGCAGTGCCGGGCACAGGGCCAGGAGGGTTGCGGGGTCGCGGCGGGGTCGCGGCGGGGAGAGCATGGCGGAGCTCAGGCCCTGAGAGGGATGTCACTGTCACCTGGTGCCTCCTTGGCTTTTCAGGCCGAGTTTGGCAGGAAGAGAATCCACCTGAACAGCCGCTTCCCGGGGGCTGAGCGCCTTCCCAACACCTGCAACGTTTCCATCCGGGGACCTCAGCTCCAAGGTGACTGTGGGCTTGGGCTCGGGTCTCAGCCAGAGCCTGAGAGCGGCCTTGACCCCAGCCAGCTGGGTTGGGTCCCTGCGGCTGGCCACTGTCCTCGCAGTCCACGAAGGCCTTACAGCCGGGCCTCAGCTGTCAGGGAAGAAACAAAGCCACCCTGCTCTGCGGCCTGTCCAGCTCAGCCGCAAGTTTGTGATACTCGTGAGAGAGGAGACCAGAGAGGCGGGTGGTTTGGACAGCTGGCTCACAGTGAGGGAAGGGGCGCAGGACGTCCGTCGCTCCACGCGGCAGTGGTTAGGGCCCTCACTGCAGGCTAGGCCTGCCCTGGGCTCCCTGGATGGGTGGGGGCGGCTCCCAGGGTCCTGTGGGAACTGGGGGCCGTGTGCATGGCATGGCAGGTCCAGGAGCAGGGCTGTGGAAGTGAAGGTTCAGCCCTCTCGCACCTGCGCGCAGAGAGCAGTGGCGTCCACCCCCCGCTGCTCAGTGGACCGTATGCACCCAGCACAATGCGGGCGGGCTGCTTTCCGCACAGCGGTCACAGCCTTGCTCCACAGTGCGGGAGAGGGCTCTGGCCTCGCTGGACTTGAGACCCAGTGTCTCAGAGGTGACCTTGCAAAGTGCCACGTTCAGGGCTGGGTTGACTAGGCAGCGGGTGGTGTGTGCTGGCTGCGGTGGGAGAGGACCCTCTTCCCTCGACTCGGCCGGAGGCTCCCTCCATCCTGGGGCCCAGGGCCAGGGAGGCTCAGGAAGGGGCTGGCGGGGGGTCCGGCACTGGGTCTCAGGGTGATGCTGTCTTTGCAGGCTACCAGGTGCTTGCGCAGTGCCGGATGCTGCTGGCCAGCGTGGGGGCTGCGTGCCACTCGGACCACGGGGACCAGTGAGTGCGCCCAGCCCCTCCAGGTCTCAGGCAGAGTGGGGACTGCGGAGCCGCGCCCAGGGCAGAGCTGCTGCGGGCACCTGGGCTCTGTCGTGGGCTCACGGCCATGGGCGCCATGGAGCTGGGTACAGGCCTGTGATGCGCCCTGGGTGGGAGTGTGCAGTGGGCACGGAGGGGCGGAGGCCAGGTGGGTGCGGGCGGCCTGAGGGAGGGCCTATGAGGAGCAGATTCTCCCGAGGAGGAGACCGAGCCCCAGAGTGGTCGCCACTGGCCACAGAGAGGGAGGTGGCCAGCAGCACAGCACAGGGGATGGGAAGAGGGAGGCCCACCTCCCACCCCTCTGGCAGCCCCGTGCCCTGGCACAGGAATGGAGGCACCCTGGGGAGGGCACTGAGGGCAGACAGGGCTCCAAGGGTGGAGGAGCTGCAGTGGGCCTCTGGGTCCTCAGAGGCCTGGTTGGGGACGCAGGGAAAGGCAAAAAGGGGGCGCAGCCGCTGCCCTTGCTGGAAGTGGCACCCTGGGCTGGGTGCAGGGCACCCTCCTGTCATTTCGGTGGTGCTACCCTGGCGGGAGCAGCCCCCTCCTGGCCCCAGCCTGGAGCCCTGACCCAGGTCCCTTCCCTCGTGGCCACCGACAGAGCTAGGCTGTGCCCCTGTACCAGGGAGGCGAGGTGCTCTGCACCCTGTGTCACCTGAGGGACTCCAGGGCCTCAGCCCCTCAGGGTTGGGTTTCGGTGGGGCGTGGTGCCAAGGAGCAGGGTGGGCAGACAGGCTTTCAGGGGACCCACAGTGGCCGGGCGGGAGAAGGGGGCGGCAAGTCTCCCCCAGCACCAAGGGCAGTTGCTTCTGTCACTGACACTGTTCCCACCCCCAGGCCCTCCCCCGTGCTGCTCAGCTGTGGCGTCCCCTTCGATGTGGCCAGGAACGCGCTCCGGCTCAGCGTGGGCCGCAGCACCACCAGGGCTGACGTGGATCTCGCCGTGCAAGACCTGAAGCAGGCTGTGGCCCGGCTGGAGGGGCAGGCCTAGGGTGGCCGCCGACCCTCCTGGGCACCCACAGGAGCCCTGCCCCACGCACCAGGGGCTGTCACTGGCCGTGAGGCGAGCGCCCCCCTCTGTGTCGCGATCTGCCCGGCACACCTCTGACTTCGGACGTCCTCCTCACCGTGCTGCCAGGGCCGCATGCCTATCCCTGTAGGACGGGTGGGCCTGTCCCAAGGGCCCCTTCTGGAAGGTGGCATTTTGCCCCAAAGATAAAACCCACATGCCCATTCAGTGAGCTACTATCGTGAATGTAGGAAATGGCTGGAGGCCGTGGAGGGCCAATCCCAGCGACCCGGGGGCTGAGACAGGAGGATGGTGACTTTGGGGCCAGCCTGGGCTACTTGGCAAAACCCACTGTATAGCACGGGCTGCAGTGTGACTTGGGGAACACCTGCCGAGCACATGGACCCAGTGCGGGAAAACACGGGACTTGCTGTGGCTTGGTCTGCACCCCCTGGCAGAGGGGCGCCCAGGGCGCTCGAGCCCCTTCCAAGCTTGGTCCCCATCAGCCATGCCATCCACCGTGCCACACTGACCCGGAGGTGGGAGTCAGATCAGCCCCAACTCAGTGTCCATCTTAATTTTATTCACAGAAGGTTTATTTTCATGAAACGTGCCACTGCACCAGAGGCCGAGCCTCACACAGGAAGGGTTTTCAGGGCACGGCATTCTGAATGAATGGTTTTGAGGAGGAGAGAGCTGCAGTGGTGTCTAGGAAGCAGCTGAGCGAGCTAATAAAGGGTTTCTATGCTGGTGTGGACGCCCTGTGCTCTCTGGCGGTTCTGGGGAGGGGACAGTGTCACTTCAGGGTCCCCATGCATGCTTTCTGTGGTTGGAGGGTGGGCTGAGGGCTCCCCAGAGGCCCCTGGCAGTGACAGCACGGAGACTTGGAGACCCTGCCGCACGCCCTCCTGGGAGGGTTGAGCCCCTGGGCAGGGCCCGGAAGGGCTGGGGAGCCTCCGGCCACGCTGCCACATCTAACTGGAAACCCCTCTCCCAGCCTGGCCGAGCCCCGGTAGGCACTTCCTCCCGGGGAAAGGTGCTGGCGGGAAGACACAGGCTGCAGCGGCCAGACAAGAGGACCACTGTGACCACTCGGGCGTGGCCTCCCCACTGCTGGCCTGCGCCCACCTCCTGCCTGGCCCGCATGGCCCTGTCTCAGATCACGCACGCCACACTCCGAGCTCCCTGCGTCTGGTCCCTGGCGCTGCAGCAGCGGCTGGGGACCCTGAGGTCCCGGGGCCTGCCCCCGCCTCCCCAGCCCAGGCCGCCTCCCATCTGCCCTGCGTGGTGCTTATCGGGTAACCAGAGCCCGCAGCTGCGTCCATGCCTGAAACAGGAAGCCCATCAGGCCTGGGCACAGGCTGCCATCGCCACCAAGAGCCAGGCTGGAGGATGGAGGAGCAGCGGGCGCTGGTGGCCGCCAGGGCTGGGGACATGGCCACCTTGGAAAGGCTGCTGGTGGCCGGCTCCCTGGGCCCGGGCGTCAGGGACACGCTGGGGGCTGGGCTGGTGCACCACGCTGCCCGCGGCGGCCACCTGGACTGTGTCTGCTTCCTGGTGCGACGGGCCAAGCTGCCTGGCAACCAGCGGGCCCAGAACGGGGCCACCCCAGCACACGACGCTGCAGCTGCTGGCCACCTGGAAGAGCTGCGCTGGCTGCTCCGCAACGGGGGCTGTGGGCTGCAGGTGAGTGGGGGCCCGTGCACCACAACCAGGGCTCTGCTCTCGGCCAGTGCTCCCTGCCCACACCGGTCCCCAGGAAGCTGCTCAGAGCCCGAGAGAGGCTCCTGAGTGCCCCGGATGCAGCGTGGGCTCAGAGGAGCCACTGAGACTCTGCCACCTTGCTGGAACGCTTGGCTTGGGTTGGGCTCTCTGCTTAGGCCTGGTGACTGGGCCTCTGCCCAGAGCGCCCAGAGTGCGGCAGTGGAGTGTGGCTCAGGAGCGGGGTTCTCAGCCCCTGTACCAGGGGCTGCAGGGCTGCTGGGCCCGCTCCAGTCCTGGTCCCCAGCGCATCCTGTGCAGTGAGGGGCACTTGGCAGGACAGTGAGCACGCCGGACGTCCCCAGTGGTCCAAGCGGCGTTGGCAGTCTCCTGGCACCAGAGTCTGCAGTGGGGACCTCCCTGCCCTCGGGGAGCTGGTCTGGGGAAGGGGACTGGCTGAGGCCGGGAGGCAGTGTCCAGGACACCTGTCCCAGGCATCTCTGGCCACGTGGAGCCTTCCTGACCATGCATAGTCAGCCTGGGAGTGGGGCCTGGACAGAGCAGGACCCCAGGAGGAGGCTCCTGACCCGGACCGGCCCTTTCCTGCCTCTGCTTCCTGCCCAGCAGGGTGACTCCAGGGCCCAGAGCCTCGTGGGTGTGGCCAGCAGGGTGGCCGGGCCCTGCTTGCTCACGGCCCTGCTGTGCCTCGGTAGGACCGGGATGCCTCGGGCATCTCCCCACTGCACCTGGCCGCCCGCTTTGGACACCCGGCGCTGGTGGAATGGCTGCTGCAGGAGGGCCACGCCGCCACACTGGAGACGCTGGAGGGCGCCCTGCCGCTACACCAGGCCGCCGTCAGTGGCGACCTCACTTGCCTGAAGCTCCTGGCGGCTGCCCACCCCAGGTGAGTGCCCCAGGGCCACTGGTGGGTTGGACTGGTCGCATGCAGGCAGTGAGGACCCCCAGGACGAGGCCCAGCAGGAAGCCAGGAGTGGGGGGTGGGGGGTGGAGTTCTGAGGCTCCTGCAGGGCAGAGGTGTAGCTGTGGACTGGGCAGGGAGGCCCAGGTGCAGCCCGATGTGCCCTACAGTGTCCTAACCCCAGGATTCTGGTCTCTGCCCTGCACTAAGGTCGCTGTTGTCATAGTAATGGGCCCGGAGAGGGGCCCAGGGTCCCCTGCTTTTCCCCAGGAGCCGCCTGCCTCCGGCCTCACCTGCTTCCTGTCTGGACACCCCGACCACCCCATGCTAGCCCCAGGACGCTTCCCTGTTGCCCTGCTGCCCAGCAGGGGTCCCTGGTTACATCCCCACCACCCAGCCTGGCCTGCATCCTCGAATCTACATCCTTAGAGCCTTCCTGCTGTTGACAGCAGGAGACTTCACATGCGCACACGTACATACGGGCACACACACGTGCACACAGTGGACAGTCTCAGGCCCCGGGCCACAGCCACAGAGAGGCACTGCAGTGACCGCAGACCCGCAGCTGCCATGCTGGCCACTGGCCTGTCCCGGTGCCATCCGGTCCCCGAGGAGAACAGCGACACACATGGTGACCCTGAGGCCACCTCAGCTCCGTGGGGACCGGGAGCAGCCCTGTTCCGGGAAGCAGCTATGTGCTGGGTCCTGTGTCCACCTGGTGTGGGGAAAGGGTCTTCCCCAGCCCCCCACAAGCCGCCGTTCTGCTCTGGGCCTCCGTTTCCCCTTTTGGCAGCTGAAGCTTGGGGCTGGGGTCCCCACACTCCCTGGGGCAAGCCGTGTCACTCGTGCTCTTGCAGTGTGGCTTTGGCTGCCGGGAGCTCGGGGGTGCAGCACTCTCCCCAGCATCCCTGCCGAGAGGCCACTGAGACCCCAGCCCCGTGAACACGTCGGCCAGAGCCTCGCGGCCCCGGAGCTGCTTGTGGGGACAGAGGGGCTACAGGGTGGCTGCGGCCACCTGTGTCTCCACGGGGCCGGGTGCAGAGCCTGGGATGGGCCCAGATCGTGCAGCCCACATGGTCTGAAACGACTGACGCCTGGGACTAGCTGGCCCAGGAGGTGGGAGCGCGGACAGGCGGGACCGGCCACTGTGCCCACAGCCCTGGACTGCGGCTGGCGCGGATCGGGGATGTGGGCTGTAAGGGCAGGGGCTGAGCGAGGTCTGCCGCAGCACAGGCTGGGCCAGTGCCGAGGACTCCCTGGGCCTCCCCTGTGGGCAGCCCAATGCAGAGATCCTGTCCGTACCGGGGACAAATTCCAGGCCATCCCTGCTGCCCATGTGGCCTGGCCAGCTGGGGAGCCCCAGCTGGGTGGGGAGCAGGCGGGCCGTGCTCTGGGCCATTCCCTCCCCTCCCTTTGCTGGTGCTCTTGGGCAATGTGCAACCTCTGCACCTGTCGGGTGCCTAGGGAGGGGAAGTGGACACAGCAGGGCCAGGTACCCCCACCACCGCCGACCACGCCGTGCGCCTCCCTGCAGGGGCGTGAACCGGCAGACCCGCAGCGGCGCCTCCCCGCTCTACCTGGCCTGCCAGGAGGGCCACCTGCACCTGGCTCAGTTCCTGGTGAAGGACTGTGGTGCCGACATGCACCTGCGCGCCCTGGATGGCTCGAGTGCCCTTCACGCTGCCGCTGCCCGTGGCCACTGCCCACTCGTGGTCTGGCTGGTAAGGGCCTGGGCCCAGGGGTGGGCTGGGACAGAGGCAGAGCCTTCCAGGGGCCAAGGTTCTTCCCCATGGCACGGGGAGCCATGGGGGGTGCTGAGCCGGATCCCTGGCCTTCCAGAGACCCCCTAACTGGGGAGGCTGAGGCAGGAGGATCACCATGAGTTCAAGGCCACCCTGGACCACACAGGGAGCTCAAGGCCAGCCTGAACTACATAGCCAGGCTCTGTCTCAAGAAACAAAGTGAACAATCCACAAAAGGTCTCTGGCTGCTGGTGGAGGGGAGCCATCCCACCCAGCCCTCGCAGGCTCGTCCTGGGGCTGCCTCTCTCCTGCCCCCACTCCTTTGCAGCTGCATCTGTTTCCCAGCCCCACCATAGGGCCTTTGTATACACTGTGCCTTGGCCAGGTGAGGTCCCCTTGTCCTCCAAGGTGCAGACACCCGACCAGCTGCATGCACAGAGTCTTTAGCTGGCCTGGGTCTCCTCCTGGCCCAACAGTGCGCAGCTGGGTGTCCTGGCAGGGCGCCGGCTATGTGCACCAGGCTGCATCCCTGTGACTGGCACAGCCGGGCACTGGGCAGAGACAGGAGGGACAAGGACCCTGCCCTCCTGACACTGGCCCTCCCCCCAGGTCACCTTCACGGACATCAGCCTGATGGCGAGGGACAATGAGGGAGCCACGGCCCTGCACTTTGCAGCCCGAGGCGGCCACACCCCCATCCTGGACCGGCTGCTGCTAATGGGCGCCCCGGGGACCAGGGACTCCTGGGGGGGCACCCCGCTGCACGATGCGGCTGAGAATGGGCACTTGGAGGTACGTGGCATTATCGGGCATGGGGGACCTCACAGGACCTGCAGGAGAGGTGTTGTTTCCCTAATATAGATGGGTAAACTGAGGCGCAGCAGGGTCTGGGTCTCCCAGGAGTGAGCTGCAGGGTTCAGGCAGTGCCTTTCCAGGACCAAGCACCCCAAGGTCTCCGGCAAACGCCTGAGGGTTTGATCTAATGTCCCTTCTGTCCTGGGTTCTGTCCAGGATGCAGGACCTGGAGTCTCGGGGCTCCCCTTGGCTGTGACAGGGGACCCCCGCCATTATAAAAGAAGCTCAAGGGCCAGTGGCACTGCACCTGCCTTGCAAGCGCAAGGTCCTGAGTTCGATCCCTGGTACTGCAAAAAAAAAAATAAATAAATAAAAAGTAATGAGCCTGTGCCCCGCAGCCCAGAAAGGGCCGCAATGGCGGCTTCTGTGCTCCACAGCTCCCGTGCCACGCTCTTGGTGTCTGGATGATGGGAATTTCACCAGTTACCTGCTGTGAGTTGTTTCATTGTAATCAAAAAGCTCTCCACATCAGCCACCCCGACCACTCCTGAGTGTGCCTCTTCACCTCCCCAAGCTGAAACTGCCCGCCCAGCCATCCCCACTCTTCCTGTCCCTATGAATCTGATGACTCTAGGTTCCTCTCATAAGTGGATCCATGCAGTGTTTGTCTCCCTGTGTCTGACCCATTTCACTGAGCATAATGTCCCCAAGGTTTATCCATACTGTGGATCAAAACTCCCTTTCTTTTCAAGGCTGCGAAATATTCCAGCTCAGAGACTCTGTTTTCCTTCTCACTCCCGTCTGATGGTGGGTATCTGGCTGCCTTTCCCTCTTGTTCTGGTGCACTTCAAACAGGCCACAGTGGTCTCTGCAGCCCCGTCCTCCATCCTCGGCTACATCAGAGGAATTGCTGGGCCTAACTGATGCTCTTCAGTGTGAACATCAACTTGCATTCTTAGAATAAATCCAGCATGCTCGCGATGACACGTTTATATATAGCTGAGCTTAATTTGCTAACAGCAGTGTAGGACTCAGGAGTGAACTTGGCCTGTCCCGTCCCTCACTTGTCCCCTCCCTGTTGGGCTTTGGTGTCAGGGTTACACAGTGAATTGGGAAGGCTTCATTTTTTTCCCTAGTCTTTGGAAATTTTTGCTTCCATTAGACTTATTCTTCGGTAAATGGTAGAATCCACCAGAACAGCTGAACAGCTGATTAGACTTGACATTTCTCTGAGAGAAGTTTTTAATTACAAATTCAATCTGTTTAATTATAAAGTCATGAGAGCTTTCGTGTGTGTGTGCGTGTGTGTGTGTGCATGCGTGTGTGTGTGTGTGTGTTGGTTTCAGTAAATCATATTTTCCTGGAAGCTTTCTGAGGCCCAATCCCGTCTGAGTTGTTCAGCATCTGTGCGCCATGTATCTCCTGTGTCACGTGTTCTGCCTCCCCTGCCGGCCATCGCCCATTGCCCGTTGCTGGCGTGGTTCCTCCTGCCTTGTTCCTCTCATCGCTTCAGGGGATGGGCAGTGCCAGTCCTTCCAGCAACCAGGATGGAGCTGTTCCAGACCTCTAGGGAGTTGCTGATTCCCCCAGTGTCTGTTTTCTACCTCGTTGGTGTCTGCCTTTACCCTCAGTACTTCTCTCCCGAGTTCTCTTCTGCAGTGCAGGGTTGGAACCCAGGGCCACACACACATGGGTCCAGTGCAACGTGGACAGTTCCATGGCATTCGGGATGTGTGCCTGTGACACAGCCCTCTCCTCCGTGAGGCCCCGAACATTCTCATCACCCCAAAGGGAAACCCTGGACTCATCAAGCGGGGTTCCCTGGGCCCCTTCCTTAAACCCTGGCGAGCTCTCTTCTACTTCTTGTCTGGATGGACACAATTCCGACATTTCGTGTCAATGCGACCATACAATACGTGGCCTTTGTGCCTGGCTTTCAGCGTGTTTTCAGGGCTCCCCGAGCGTGGCAGAAGTCTGAACCACATCCTTCCTACGCTGGGCTGTGCTCCTCACCTGTGGAGCTGACATTCTGTCCCCCGGCCTCTGTCGATGGACTTGGGCAGCCTCCACCTTTGGCCACTGAGGTCAGGGCTGCTTGGACATTCGGGGCCAGCTGTTGTCTGAGCCTGGACCTCGGTCCAGTTCTTTGGGACGCACTGGGTCACGTGGTTAGGGTGTGTGTAATCCCCAGGCTGCTTTCGCCACCCACAGCAGCGTACAAGGCGTCCAGTTCCTCTCCCTCCTGCTGACCCTTACCGCTCATCATGGCCAGCCTGGAGCCTGGGAAGTCGTGTGGCCTTGATGTGGGGCTCTCTGTGACCGAATCAGGTGTGTGGACAGGCGCTCGCTCCAGAAACAGGACTGCTCCTCTGGGGCGGTGAGGAGCGCTCCCTCTTCCTGACTTGTATCTGGTAGCTTCCAAGAGACTTGTGTCAGGTGGGGAGCGGGCAGGAGCATCGCTGCAGGCTTAGAGTGTGGCGAATCCGATTCTGCACCTGCTCTCAGGGGTGCTGGATGCACAGTACAGGTGGGAGTACCGCGTACCACTGTGGTACTGAGAACCATAGCAGATGCAACCAGAAGAGGGCGGCCCCAGGACTCGCAGGCGGAGCAGTGCCAGCTGCCCCAGGTGTACTTGGGCCCAGGAGAGGCTTCAGGTGAGCCAGGGCCGGCTCCTCCCCGGGTGCCCGGGGTGCGTGGCAGTGGTGCCCGGGCAGAGGACTTCCTGGGGCTCCCGGGAGGGTCACGCAGGGTGAGGTTGCAGAGTCTCGGAGGAGCAGCACGATCCGTAACCCGCAGAGGATCGCAGGGACTGAGGCAGACTGCGGAGCGCAGTGTCCCGGGTCAGGGTGGCGAGGCGGGCCTGGAGCCTCGCGTGGGGGCCGGGGCCTGAAGTGCGCTAACATCTGGTGGGAAGACGGATCCCACGCCGTGGCTGGGGGTGGGAGGCTGTGGAGTAGGAAGCTGTTACGGGGCAGGGCGGCTGGGGCTCACAACAGGGCGGGGGCTGGAGGTCTGCGGCCTGGACCCGACCTACGCTTTGGCCCGGCTGGCAGACCCTGCCCAGAGCACTCAGGGAGGGACCCACAGCACGCAGAGCCCCGCGCCCGGAAGCTGGCTGCTGGCTCCTCCCTCCGCGGCGGCCACACTTCCTCCCCGGGAGGCGCACTGAATTCCCGCTCAGACCTGCAGGGAAGACCCAGCGCCCCGCGCCCACGGGGTTGGAGATCCGGGCATCTCAGGCTGTTGCCCTATGGGTCGCGGTCCTGGCTCCTGCTGGGGGGAGCGCGAGGGACCTGCTGCTCCCAGGAGAGTGCTACCCAACACGCGCCCAGGCCGCTGCCCGTGGGCAGCATCACGACGCAGGAACCCTGCCTGTCATTGTCTGGGCCAGGGACCTGCCTCCGGCGTTCGTACAGTCTAAGTGTGGGACCTGCGTTCAGACCCGCGCGCGCGCGTACACGGCCACCCCTCCTGCAGCTCCAGGCTCCGCCCTGTGCACTGGCTGGGGTGGGGGGGACTGCGCTCCCCTCTTTTGCCCCTCCGAAAATGGCGTCCCCACCGTGAGGTGGAGCCTGGCGGTGGAGCTTCGCTCTGGGATCCGCCTGGGATCTGCACTGGGACAGCGGAACGTGACGTTGGCGCTGCGGCGACCTCCCGACTGCCCAGGAGCCCGCGGGAAGGTGTTTCTGAGCTCGTTCACGAGGCACTGGCGTTCCGAGTGACTCGGCGTCGCGCACCGGGGGTACGGTGTGAATTCACAGCGGGCAGAGAGATGGACACAGGGTGTCACTGTCACAGGGCGGTCATGGGTCTCCTGCACCATCCACTTCCTCTCTGCCGTGCTGTGGGCGGGTGGGACCCACACAGCTTCGGTCCGAAGCCAGGGAGAGCGGTGGAAGGTGAGGAAAATTGGAGAATAACAAGAAAGAAAGATACGTACCAAGATTAAGCTTGAAGGCTGGGACCGGGTGGGACCATAGCCTGGTGAGCTAATGGCCGCCTGGCGTCCACTGCACTCTATCGTGTAAGACAAACGGGAGAGAAGGTGGGTGACCCTCATTACGTGGCCTCCGTGGCCTAGGCTGAACGGAGTGTGATTGTATCATGATCGGGGCATGCGCAGAAAGGAACCAAGGGTACATAATTTAACTGCCTCCTGGGGCTGGGCCATCCAGGGGCTGCAATCTGAGTCAGACAGACTGTGCCTTGTTTCCCTGTCTGGTCTATGGCGGAGAAAGGGAGTGGGGATTAGACGAAAGGCCATCTTCCGGCTCGACTGTGCCAGAGTGGGTCATGGGCAGTGGGTGGGGTTTATACATCCTGCAGCCCTGGGCTGCACAGCCCTCAGCGCTGGATTTTGCAGCCCGCAGCTCAGAGCCAGTGGTGGAGGGAGCGGGACACCAGGGTCCACTTGTCTGCCTCCTTTTGCCTTTCTCAGCTGCTCTCCATCCAGCCATCTGACCTCCTGGTTTCAGAGCAGAATTTTAATTACTTAAAAATTTTGTGCGCAGGCAGGCATTATCACACAGGGGCTCTTGTGGGAACAGGAAGTGGTGTTGGGCGGGATCTGGGCTGAGGACAACGGCCTGAGTTGCCTCAAGGATCTGTCCAGCGTGCCCTGGAAGACAAGACATGGCTCCTGAGCCATCAGCATGGAGGAGCTGGCTTGTGACCCTGGGGCTCTCCCACTTCGAGGCCCTCGTGTGCCCCCCTGTGGAGCTGGCAAAGCCGTGACCCCGAGTGCTGAGGACCAGCCGAGTCCGTCCTGTCGCTGCACCCAGCAAGCGCTGCTTGGAGAGTGCCGTGTCCCTGCATCCAGCTCGGACACGAGTTCCAGGCAGCCCAGTGTCCACATGGGCTTGGGCTTTTCATGACGCCACCTGGAGCTGGCGTGGGAAGAGAGAGCTGCTGGGATTCGTGGATCTGTGCTCCGTGTCATTGGCCACCATGTCTCAGACGTCCCCTCCACCCTGTGCTGCGTCTCCTCTCTTTCTGGAATTCCTGGGACTTAGGTGCTGGGAGACAGAGAAGAAAACCAGGTCAGACTCTCCCATCCCTCTGAAGGCCAGGAGGGGACGTAGCCCACCAGCAGCTGTCACCTCCCTGTTGCCTCAAGAGTGGCTGGGGGCTCCTGCCAGGACCTATGGGCCGCTGCTGGGAGCCACACCTCCAATGACAGGTGTGAGGCTGCTCCACCACGCCCGTGCCAGAGGCTGCTGCTGCCTCGTGGGGAAACCAGAAAACCACACCAGCAGGGTGAGACAGGGAGGACCTGGTCCACGGCTGGTGTCCCCGAAGCTCCTAAACCCCAAGAATTTGTGAGCAGCCACAGTCCACATGGCACAGCTCCGGCCGGGGGCACCTGCCTTAGCCAAAGCGGGCTGGAGACTCGCACTGACCCACAGGCCATCCCCGCCCGTCACCACTGTGAACATCTGCAGGGTGCCACGGCCGAGCCTGAAGATGGCCCTTCGCCTAATCCCCACTCCCTTTCTCCTCCACGGACCAGAGAGACCCTGGATGGCACAGCCCCAGAGGCAGCTAGATTATGTGTCCTTTCTTTTCTGCACATGCCCCGATCACGAGACAATCACACTACGTTCAGCCTAGGCCACGTGGGCCACGTGGCACGAGTTACCTGCCTTCTCTTCCTGTTTGTCCCACACTACAAATACAGAGCGCTCTGGACGCCAGTTGGCCATTACCTCATCAGGCTGTGGTCCCACCTGGTCCCAGCTACAAAGCATACTTTTGCCTTCTTTCTTAGTATTTTCCAATTTTTTCTTCATCTCCCACCACTCTCCCTGGCTTTGGACCAACACTGTGCGGTCGCGGCAAAACCCTCCTTGTGCTGCACATGTGCCACCTGCTGCTGCTCCAGCTGAGCGGGGCCCCGAGTGCTGGTCGGGTGGGTGAGGAGGCTCCCTCCCCGCTCTGCCTCTGTGCAGCTGCCCAGGGCCCAGGGAAACCTTGCTCTAGGGCTCACGTAGATCCACTGGGGATTCTCGCTTGGGGAGTGGGGCAGAGCCGGTCTCAGTGGGAAGAGTTGGCAGCACCAGGGCCTAGAGACCGTGGAGGAGACTAGCAGCAGTCCGTGCAGATCACCAGCCAGTGACGCAGTGGACACTGGCTGGCAGTGTTTGGCAGGGAACCCAGGAAGCTGCCAAAGGGGCTAGACCTGGTGCCCAGCTGCCAGTGGGTGTGGCAGTCACGCTCAGCCGTCAGCTCGACTGGCTTGGGAACCGCCAGGGAGTGGTGAGGCACACTTCTGGGGATCGTGGAGGGAGGGCCTGGGCTCTGGGTCTGGTCCCTGGCCCTCCTCTGGTTCCCCTGCTCTGCTCCCTGACCTCGCTAATACTTACCCTTCGCTTCACAACACCCTCCAGCGTGTTCCTGCCTTGGAGCACCGACCATGGACTGAGGCCCCATGGGCCAAATTAAACTCGTCCTTTAAGCTGTGAGGTCAGGTGTGGTGTCCCAGTGATGGAACGCTGGCCGATACAGGGTGGCCAGGCGCTGTGGAGAGCCGTGGTGCTAGGGGCCCAGGACACTGGTGCTCAAGCCCGCAGCCATCCCGATGGCCGTCTGAATGGAACACAAGAACTCTCAATGGATTGGTGACAGTTGGACCTTACTGTGTTTTCTAGCTTTCTGTCACTGTGATAAAATACCTGAGATAATCCAATCTTTCAAGGAGGAAAGGTTTGTTTTTGGCTTACAGTTTCAGAGGGGCCAGTCCATGGATCTTGTTCTTGTGCTGTGGCCTCATGGGAGATCATGGTATAGTGCATGGCAGCAAACCTCGGTTTACCTCAGGTAGCTGGGAAGAAGCAAAATGGGAGAGGGTAGAGGTAGGGTAGGGGTCCCAATGGCCCTCCCAGGCCACGCCCCAGTGATCTCACTTCCTTATAGGAGGTCCTACCTCCTAAAGGACCCCCGTGTCCTAAGCGCCAGGGCTGGGGACACGCCTTCCTGGCAGTCTTAGGGGATAGCTCCCAGCTAAGGCAGCATCTACTGGGTTTCCGTTTTCATCTTGGTGCTCTCTCAGGTGCTGCTTCCGATTGTTTTCTCTTTATAGTTGTCCAGCCTCAATTCTGTTGGTGTTTTCATGTTCCAGACTGAACCCGTCATGTTCGGGTTGTTGTGTAGTCTGCGTGGTGGCCCCCGCGCTGGTGCTGGCGTCCCTTGAGCCCGCGGCTGTGGTGAGCACAATGCTGCTCTCACTCCCGCCTTCCGCCTTCCCGCTTCACCCTGGGGCCTGAGAGCCGCCCCGTGGGGGCTTCCCTGTGGCTGACTCTGGCCTGGATGGCGCTCAGGTCCTGTCACCTCTTGGGTGCGTCAGGAAGCTGCTTCTTCACAGCCTGTTTTCTGCGTATCCGGGGATTGACCAGACCTCCTGCCACTCTTTGCTGAAGCTGCTCCACCTGCTCACTGCACAGGTTTCCACACTGACACCTCGGGCACGCTCTGTTTACACACGGCAGCCACGGGGTCCGGGGTTCTGTGGTAAAGTCCTCCTCCTCCTCCTCCTCCTCCTCCTCCTCCTCTCTCTCCCTCCCCTCCCCCTTCATCCTCCTCTTCCCCCTCCTCGCACCTCTGGGGCTGATGTGCCCGGTGCCCACTGGGGCCAGGCCTGACCCTCTCCCCTTCCTCCCCACTGGTGCCCCCCGAGAGCAGCTGCAGAATGACCTGGTCCTCACTGACGCCTCAAAGGCAAGGTGGGCCAGGGCCCTGGCTTGGTCCCCACTGTGCCCTGGAGAGCTGACCCTCCTGCCCTGGGTCCCCTCTGGGAAGGGCTCCTGGGCTTCCCGGGATGCTGTCTCTTCAATGCAGGACAGGGCGGCTCGTGGCCCAGGCGAAGACTGCCCCTGTGGCCCATGGCCGTGGGCTGCAGCAGCCAGGAGCTACCTGCATGGCCCCTCGGGGCCTGGTGAGCCTTCCAGTCATGGTTGCCCGTTTCCCCACAGTGCTGCCAGACCCTGCTCTCCCATGGCGTGGACCCCTCCCTGCGGGACACAGACGGGTACACGGCAGCGGACCTGGCAGAGTACCATGGGCACCAGGACTGCGCCCAGTTCCTGCGAGCAATGGCGCGGCCGGTGAGGCCTTGGGGCCCCTGCAGCCTGTAGGTCGGGGATGGGGGAGCCGCCGGCAGCCCGGGGAGCCGGGCCAGGCAGCAACAAGGGCACGGGTGGGGCTGGACAGGCGCGGTGACTGCCAGGCCTTTCCCATGGGCCGGGCACCCTACCTGCCACAGGCTGCCGAGGCCAGTTCCTCCTGGAACATCATGGCAGCTGAGGGTGCCCAGCATGGAAGCGGGCCTTGTCCTGGCTGGGTGCTCTGACGGGACTCTCCCACAGCCTCGAGACGTGGGTTCCCTTCCCTGGCCAGGGCGTGGACTCTCAGTGCCCCTGTTCTGGAGCTGGGACGGGATCTTGCTGCCCTGCTGGGCCTGTCCCCGGCACCATGGGGCCCCACGGCATTTGCTGAAGGGACCGTGGACTGCAGCCGGCCGGCGAGCGGCTTCCTGCAGGGCGGTGGGGCCGTGGCATCAGCATTCGGTGGGACAGCTGTGCCCAGCACCCCCTCTGCACCCAGCTCAGGTGGTGACCCTGTGGAGCTGCCCCTGCTCGCCATCTTCTGTGGTGGCCGCCCCGTCAGGAGGGGCCCTGGGGTCCCTGCATCCCATTGAGGGCTTCTGTGCCTCTCGTGTCGGGACCAACCGAGGCACAGCCCTGCTTGGCCCCTGGGCCTGCCAGACAGCCCTCAGCTGGCCTCTCGCTGCTGCAGCCTGGGCGGACCCTGGGCCCTGGCGCCCTGGTCTTGTCCTGGGGAGTAGTTTACAGGCTGTGGTGGTGACCGAGCAACTGAGTGCTGGACTGGCCACTGCCCAGAGGCCCTTCTTCCTCCTGCGCCCTGACACCCGGCTCTGCCCCTGCCCTGCGCAGCTGAGCTGAGGAGACCAGGAGAACGGCCACTGCAGCACCCCCGCCCTGCAGGCACTTGCCCCGCAGGGACCACTCCTGCTGGTCGGGGTCCCTGCCCCATCCCACCCACCAGGCCACGAGCCTGCCCCCAGCCCAGCCTGTGACCAGCGCCTCCTGGGCAGGGGCGGGGAAGCCTCAGGCTTCCTGGAGGTCCCAGCATCTCCCCACCCCACCTGGGGGCCGTGGTGCCAGAGCCCACCAAGTGCTCCTGTTCCCCATCTGCTGTCCCCCACCCACATCTGGGCACGCCCACAGGCCCTCGGACTCCGGGTGGGGACTGCAGCCCATCCTGCGCCTGTGTCCTCCCCCTCCGCCCGACTGTGCTTGTCCCCGCTCAGTGGGAGGACAGGCAGCAGCTGTGGGCTGGCACCAGGGACAGGATGCTGGGCCCCATGCAATGTTAATGGAAATGCAATATGCGGAGGTGGCCTGCACCAGTGTCCCCATGCCGCCCCTGGAGTGACGAGAGCCTCAGGCCCAGTGCTGGAGATGCAACGCCCCACCATGGGCCCTGGGGGCTGGGGCAGGGGTCAGTGCTGACCCGCCGGCCCGCGGCCATCCTGTTGGCGTCTGGGGAACCTAGGGTGCCCACTGCCCACTTGGGGCCTGCACTCGCCTTGCCCCGGCCCACACCTGGGGCCTCAGCGAGATGAAGGGAGGGTGACCTGCCCCTCAGTGCTCCTCAGCGGGGCAGCTGTGAGGAGCCACCCTCCCTGCCCCAGACCTGGTGCCCTCCCTGGCCCCGGCCTCTGTGGGCTGCCTGAGCCTGGACCTCGGCCTGGGAGACAGGCAGAGCTGTTGGACGGCAGGGCCCAGCCGCCCGGCAGTAATGGAATCTCAGCCGTGGCAGTTGGTGCTGGGCGCCGTAGCAGGTCGTGATTTTCCCGGCCCAGGTGGCATTACAGGTCTGTAATCCTGCTCACCCCTGCCACCCTCGATGCATAATGCATGGAGGCTCAGCAACGCTCAAATCTCACCAGAACACAGGGAGGAGGTGGCAGCCGGGGCCAGGGAAACGCACTCCCGACCCGAGGCCCGAGCCCTGACGTCCACCCCTCCTTCTGTCCCGTGGACCCCAGTGTCCAGGGCCTCAGGCAAGGCAAGGACATGGTGACTCCTCCCACTGAGGTTCAGGGACCCTGAGGGCCGGCATCCATGGGCCCCACCTTCCAGCCAGGGCTCATAGGCTGGACAGGGACAGGGCTCACGGCCGACGTCCCTGTGCTTCTCAGTGGTGGTGGCGGAGCTCAGGGAGCCGAGGGGTGCCCAGGATCCCCAGTGTTCCTGCCCCCTGCTCCCCCAGCCAGGGCCACAGCCGGCCTCTGCCCTGCACCCGCTGTGGGTGAGGTGGGAGTCTCCAGGGCCAATCCAACTTGGAGAGACTCGAGGGCTCCCAGGCGATGTGATTTGGGCCCAGACAGCTGCTATGTCCATCATGGGCCCAGAAACGCCCTCTTCAGAGCGAGCAGGAAGTTCCCTGCCTCTGTCCCCTGGGAGGCTGGGCAGGGACAGCGGGCTTGGCATTTGTGGTGGCACCGTCCCTGCCTCTCCCGACACTGACACTGCCCCTGGACCAGGGAGTCCCACGGCCTCCGGGACAACTCAGATCCCAGCTCCGTTGAGGGGCCCTGGGAAAGCCCTGTGCCCCCTGTGCTCCTCAGTTTCCCTGTCTGTGGGTGGGGACTCAGGGATCCCAGGTGCCATCTCCTGAGGGTCCCCTGCCCTGGCTCTGCCCTGTGGAGGGTTAAGATTGCTGTAAGGGATCCCACACCGGCAGGCCTGGCTACCTGACACTCAGCCTTCAAATATTCATGTGCACCTCTTGTGGGGGCGGCGGCTTGGACAGCCCTGAGGCCCACAGCCGCATCTGGGAGAGGTCCGCCCGGGGCCGGAGCGGAGCTGGAGGCTTCCGAGGAGTGAGGCGCATGGGGCTGGGAGGCCGGGCTCTCGTCCGGTGGCCTGGGGGCCGAGGGTCTGGGATGGGGCGCGTTCACCTGTGACCTGCCCGGTAAGGCCCAGAGAGGCCCGGGCTTGGCCTGCAGCACCGGCCATGCACAAGGTAGGGATTTCCCATGGGCTCAGCACACGGCCCTGAGACGGGGCCGCCTGGGGAGTGGGTAGGGGTCACAGAGGGATGGGGCCCAGACGAGCACTCGGGGTGTCTGGGGGCCTGGCAGGGACAGGGCTGCCCTCCCTCTGCTTTCTCCCCGGGAGCTCCACAGGCGCACAAGGCACCGGCACCGGCCGGTGCCCTCACGCTGGCCGCCCTGTCCCCAGCTGCCCACCCTGATGACACCCCAGCCTCCGCCGTTCCTGCCCCCGCCACTGTCCGCCGTGAAGCTCTCCCTGCAGCACGGAGGAGGGGACCCTGGGCACGGGAGCCCCACGCGTGAGTACGCAGCCAGCTGGAGGCAGTCGCTGGGTTTCTTCCGGGGCCTCTGCAGGGGAGGCGTCCCCAAGGGCTGGCGGGGAGGGTCCTGCAACTGCAGGCCGTCCCAGTGGAGGGCCGGGCCCAGCACTGGGCAGAGCAAGATGGAATTGCAGGAGCCTCGCAGCAGCACCATAGGCAGAGGGTGCCTGGGTCTGCAGGACGCCCCACTGCTGTGTGGTCACAAGTGGGCGCGCGTGTGTCTGCGTGCGTAAGTGCGTCTGCGTGTGAGCGTGTGTACAAGTCTGTGCGTGTCTGTGTGTGTTTACATGTGTAAGCCTGTGTCTGATTATGTGCGTGTGCGTGTGTGCATCTGCCCTGCCCGGGCCCGCTGCAGGCCTCAGGAGGGCTCGCGCCCAATGTGGACCAGGCATGAGGTGCTGGCAGCCCAGTGGGCTCGGCAGGGCCCCCGAGCGTCTGGGCACCCGGCGGGGCCTTGCTCCCAGCCCAGCTCCTGCAGGCGCCCTGCTGTCCCCGACAGGCTCCCCGAGCCCTGCCCCCGAGGCCCCGACTCCCCTCCACTTCTCAGCAGCCTCGACGCTCAGCCCCACCTGGCCCGGCCAGCCCAGCCTGAGGGAGCCCCTGGCCTGTCCCCCTGGCCCAAGCGGAACTCCAGCCACCCCCAAGGTGAGTCCCCGGCTCTGGGTAGCCTGCTTCTGAGGATGGGAACTTCAGGCAGTGGCAGCAGAGAACGAGGGGACCCTTCCCTGTCCCCCGAGAGTCCCAGCAGCCAGGCCTGCACGGACCTCAGGACTCAGGTGCTCTGCCCCCTCAGAAGCCCTGTTCTGCAGAGAAGCAGCTGCCTCTGAAGGTGTGGGGCTGGCCGCTCCTCCTCCGGAGGCTCTCTCCCCTCCCTCTGTGCCCAGCCCAGCCCTGAGTGGGTCCTGGGTAAGCTGGGAAATTCCTCCTTTGCTGGTCCCTGGAGGGGTAGAGCATGCGCAGCACGGTAAAGGCTCTGACAAGTCCTGCTCCACAGAATGGCGGCCAGACTTTGTCCATGTTGAATTCCCAGCGGCATGCACAGGGCACCCTCTGCTGGGCCGCTCGGAGAGGGCAGGACTCTGGTGGCCTCTCTGAGCAGTGAATCACAGTGGGGCCGCACCTGGGCGGGTCTTGGCTGGGAGCTGGGGGCCGGGGCCGACCCCGGATGCCCTGGACCACACACTGGGTCCCCGTCTGCACAGGGGCCAGAGATGGCTCTGGGGGACGCCCCCAACGGCCTGGCTGTGCTGCGGCTGGACGGGCTGCCCTCGGGGGACCTGGACGGGCTGGTGCCCACGCGGGACGAGCAGGGCCGGCCCATCCCCGAGTGGAAGCGGCAGGTGATGGTGCGGCAGCTGCAGGCCCGGCTGGGCGCGGAGGACGGCGCTGCAGAGGCCCAGGTGCGGCTGGGCGGGGGCGGCCCCAGCCCATCCTGCAGGAACCCGCCCCGCCCTGCCCCTCCCGCTGCCTGGCTTCCCTGGGTCGGGCAGAGGCACCGTCCGCTCTGTCCTTTGACGCCCGTGCTCAGCAGCGGCCCTGCTCTGCTCAGCGTCCTGGACTCCAGCCACCAGCGCGTGTCCTTGGCCTGGGCTGCGCTGTCCCTGCCACGAGCCCAGCCACCTGCAGCTGAGCTGCAGCGCAGAGGAGAAGGCTCTGCTGCCTCTGCGGCGTGGGGCAGGGCGGGTTGGGGCCTCTGCGCATCCAACCTCAGGGTTGTGCGCCGGCCTGGCCGGGCAGAAAGCCTGCAGCCCAGTCGGGACCTTGGGGTGGACGGTGCCCAGGACTCGGTGGGGATGTGGGGCGGGCGGCGGCTGGGGCCGGTCCCCACCCTCGGGGCTGTCAGACCCGGGCAGGGTTGGCCGAGGACTGGGAGGCTCGGGGGACGGGGCCGGGGCGGGCAGCTCATCCCCTTCCCGGGGGCGACAGTGCCCTGCCAGTCTCCAGCTCTGCCAGCTGCCTGGCTTGCTTTTCTTTCTGTTTGGGGGTTTTCTTTTGCAGTACTACGAGCTGAGCTGGGTCTTCACTCGGAGCTGCACCTCCAGCCTGTTCTTACTTTGTTTTGGTACAGATCTCACTAAGTCACTCATTTGGCCAGGCTGGCCCCTCACTTGTGGTTCTCCTGCCTCAGCCTTCTGGGTGCTGTGGCTTATGCTTTCTAAGACCAGACGGGCCAGCCAGAGTGTCCAGAGGCTGGACGAGGGTCCCCGGGGGCCTAGAGCCCGCCCACCCCAGGGAGGCGATGCCCAGCGTGGGTCGGCCCTGCTGACCGGCCCTTCCTGTGCCCAGGGCAGCAGCGGTGGGAGCGCGGGCCCCACGGAGCCAGCCCCCTGGCAGTACGCGCAGGTGCACCAGGCCATCCTGGGCCCCTTTGGGGAGCTGCTGACAGAGGACGACCTGCTGTACCTGGAGAAGCAGATTGCAGACCTGCAGCTGCGGCACCGCTGCCAGGAGTACGAGAGCCAGCTGAGCCGGCTGGCGGCTGAGCTGCAGGCCCTGCTGCCCGAGCCCCTGGTCAGCATCACCGTGAACAGCCACTTCCTGCCCCAGGCACCCGGGCTGGAGGACGAGGGGGGCCCCATGCCGGCAGCCAAGCCCAAGGACCCTGGGGAGGCCAGGACCGCTGAGCCGGGCGGGCAGCCCCTCCCCTTCTGGTGCAGCCACATCGGGCGCCTGGTGCGCAGCCTGTCACTGCTGCTGAAGGGCATGAATGGGCCAGTGCAGGCTGAGGAGCCCGAGGCTGCCCTTGCCCCACAGGACGCCCGCAGGGAGGCCCTGGCCAGCCCGGCCCGCAGCGAGGCCCAGCGCGAGATCCAGGGCTGGGGGGTGTCCGTGCAGACGTTGCGTGGCAACTTTGAGTCGGTGCCTGATGCCATCCCGCCCTGTGCCCCAAGCCCGGGGCTCTATGAGCCCGGTGCCTGGCCCATGCAGTGCCCTGGAGGCTGCCAGCTGGCACCTCCAAAGCCCCGAGGCAGGCCAGCAAGGGGCGAGCACAGGCCACAGGCCACAGAGGAGGCCCCGTCGGAGGCGGGTGCACTGCCCGGGCCAGACTTGGCCAGCCTGCGCAAGGAGCGCATTGTCATGCTCTTCCTCAGCCACTGGAAGCGCTCGGCCTGCACACCAGCACTCAGGACGGCGGCCTACAGGACCCCAGAGGCCCAGCGTGCCCACCCCCGGGGACCGGAGCCTGCTGGGAGCCTGCACCCGCCCTCCCTGCCGCCCAGCCCCAGCCCCCGGCTCGGCCACCTGTGGCACCAGCGCAGCGCCGTTGCCCACCTGCTGGGCAGCTGGAAGGCCATCCTGGCACATGTGCCCACCCGGCAGCTGCGGCTGAGCCGGCGGCCCCAAGGGCCCCTGTCCCCTGAGCAGTTCCTGCCCCATGTGGATGGGGCGCCCATGCCCTACAGCAGCCTCTCCCTAGACCTCTTCATGCTGGGCTACTTCCAGCTGCTGGAGTGCGAACTGCCGCCGGAGGAGCGGAAGATGCGGCACCTGCTGTGCTTTGAGGTCTTTGAGCACCTGGGCGCCCATGGCTGGGAGGCAGTGCGGGCCTTCCACAAGGCCGTGATGGACGAGGTGGCTGCCGGGCACCGTGCCTGGAGTGACAGCTTGGAGGACATCAAAGCCCGCTTCTTCGGCTGCAGCCAGGGCCCTGCCTGGGACCCCGAGCCTTGCCGGGAGTCAGGAGTGACACCGCTCGGGCCCCTGCCGAGCCCCGCTGTCCCCAGCAGTGTCCCCAAGCCTGTGGCACAGTGGCCAGGTCCTGGCTCCCAGCAGGGCAGCTTCAACAGTGAGGACATCTGCAGCTACATGGACCGCAGCTTTGCCTTCTGGAAGGAGAAGGAGGCGGAGATGTTCCACCTCGGGGAGTGAACGGCCCGAAGAGACAGCAGCGGGACTGCAGTGCTGGGCCTGGCCCACGCAGACTCCCTGATGAGAAGCTCCCTGTATGGTCCCTGCCCTGACCCCGCTGTGGGGCCCCGGGACACAGAGCTGTCAGCCCCAGAGGTCATGGATGGCAGAGTGGCCACTCGGGCACCCAGCTGTCACCCAGGGCACCCTTCTCCACATGCCAGGGGGCTGGGAGGTGATGGATCCCACCCTCGGGGCCCGGCTGGCACAGAGAATTGACGGAGCCAGTCCTCGGGAGGGCTGAAGGCTGCTGATGGCAGCCTGTCCCCAGCCCCCGGTGCCGGCCAGAGGCTGGGCCCCCGCCAGGCTGTGAGGTCCAAGGAAGCTTCGGGGGGGGGGCTGTGAGACGCCCCGGGCACTGGCCGAGGGGGAGGTTTCAGGACCCTCCGCCGACCACCTGCCTGTGGCCACAGCGCTGAGGGCAGAGCTGGCACGACGACAGGTCACCTTCAGGGGTCTCCTGTGGGGAACCTCAGCCTGGGGTCCTGTGGGCAAGGCCTCAAGGAGACATGAACTTGGGGTGAGCTGGTGGTCCATACGGCAGGGCTGTGAAGGGAAGGGGCGTGCGCCCTGGCTTCCGGCCACCAGGGCCACTCGCCATCGCTGGGGCCTGCCACACGCCCAGGCGCACACCACAGAGACCCCTCCTGCAGCCAAGCCTGGGCTTGCGCTGGCTCAATAAAGCTCCGCCCCGCCGGCCTTGCTCTTGTGTTATCCTCGAGGGTCCCCCGTGCCGCCGTGCCCGGCCCCAGGCGGGCACCAGGCCCAAGCCCACCTTGTCACCACAGACCCGGGCGGCAGCCTCTGTCCCACAGGGGCTTCTCACTGCACGCCAGAGGGGGACACAGCGCCAAGCGCCACTGGGGACCTAGGTGGGCACACTCAGCCCTGAGGGGGAGGGGCTCTTCTCAGGGCCCTGAGCTCAGACGCCACCTGGCCGGCGGTGGCTCTGTCAGGCAGGCTCCTCTCAGGACCCTGGCTCACCCCAGCCTGTGGCTGTGTTGTGCCCGAGGCCTGGCCCAGCTGGGGCAGGAGATGAGGCTCAGACGTGGGTCTGGGGAGCCTGTGGTGGCATGCTGGGAGTCGGGCACTCTGGCGTCTCCTGGGGCAGTGTCCCGAGGGGCCAAGGAAGAGGGGTGGGTGGCATTGGGCAGAAGCTCAGCGCCCAGCTCCGGGTGGCCCTGCCTGCTCACTGCTGGGCCTGTTTCCAGTGTGGTCGAGGGGGGCTGCGGGAGTCCTGGGGGCCAGTGGGTGGCAGGTGGGGGTGCAGGGTGGCACAGGTCTGGGCTTGTGCCCGAAGGGGCAGCCCTCACATTCCTGCTGCAGAAGACACCCTGCTTCTCAGGGCACCCCAGCGGCTCTGCTCTTTCACGGGGGGGGGGGGCTGAGGACGCTGGCTTCTAAGGACCTGCAGGTGACTGTCACCCGAGGGTGCAGGCTGGGCCACGAGGTGCACCTCTCTGTCTGCTGTCTGGGGGAGCATTGCTCACCGAGGACCCAGGGCGCCTTCATAAGCACCCAAACCAGGCTTCCTGGAGAGGCAGAAATCGTCTGGGCCTTTCCCAGCCCCATGTACTGGCAAAGCAGACTGGCCAGACGTGTAATCCCAGCACTTGCGAGGCAGGTGGTGGAACCACTGAGCTAAATCCCCGGCCCTGTCATTGCAAGTTTGAGGTCAGTCTGGGCTACATGGTGAGACCCTGTCCGAGAAACAAAACAAAACCAAAAGCAAAGAAAGAAAAGAAGGAAAGAAAAACAGGTCTCAGAGGCAGTGAACACTGCCCAGTATGGTGGAAGCACTGTACACACCTGTGTGACCTTTAAGGTAGCCAGGTTTTTCATGACTAAATTGCCTTTGAAGGAGCAAACAAAGGAAGCTGTGAGGAGCCCCAGGGAACCCCCTTTGGCAGTCAGTGCACAGCCTCCCAGAGTACAGCCGGCACCACGGTGTCACTTCGGACTCGGCCACAGAGGAGGCTGCGTCCAGCGCCCTTGCCTTTGACCCCTGAGGGAAGCGGCTGCCATGCAGGGAGGACTCGTCCCCCGACCCGCAGCCTGCCAGCACCCCTCGGGTGACTCCTGAGCACTGCGGCGTGCCTTTGGGAGACGCTGCCTCTGGGCAGTTTGTTAGGCAACAGCAGCTGACAGATACAGTGGGAGGCGGTGACAGGCTGGTGGCAGGCTGAAGGCGTCACAGTGATGGAGCAGCTGCAGCCGAGCAGTGGCCACTTGGGTCAGCAGAGGGGCCAGAGAAGCGGCTCACACCAGGACCGCAGGCCCACAGGGAAGGCCTGGGGCGGCAGGCTGAGTGCGCCAGTCAGCTGTGGGAGAAAGGACAGACGGCTCCCTGGCGCTCCGTGCCCACAGGAACCTCACACGCAAGAGGTGCTGGGAGCTGTTGCACTGTGCAGCCCTGAGGAGGCAGCCAGGGTGGCTGTGGAGCTGGTCCCCAGCAGCCTACAGCCCCTCCACAGGGCACCCTGCTCTGTGCCGGGTGAAAGATGACCATGCACAGTCTGTGCCGGGAACCCTGTCTCCAAGTACAGACTAGAAGGACAGGATGCTGCCCAGTGCAAAGGCCCTGGGGTCACCACAGTGCTGCCAAGGGAAATGGCCCCATTCTGCCAGGAGTGTGGGTCACACAGGCCAAGGGCCTCTGAGGGCATCGGGCCCTTCCCCTGGGGGCCTGGGAGGCCCCTAGGCGTGCAGGGGTGAAGGAAGGAGTCGGTGGTGAGGGCCAAGGCCCCGTGTGCACTGGACCCTGCTGGCGGCTTGGCAGTGGCTGCCTCAGGGATCTGTGGGCCCCAGCTCCCAGCTCACCCTCAGACCTTGGGCACCCCACGAGCCTGCTGAGGGCCGGCTGTGGGGCCCCATGGCCACTGGGGATGCTGCCTGGGAGGCTGGCGCCACTGTGGTATTTTTAGATGACCCCATTTCTTAGCTGGCCCTGGCACTCGGGGAGGGAGACACCGACAGCTCTTGGCCAAGGCTGCAATAGGGCAGGAAGGGCTGTGCTTCTGTCCCCATGCCTGCTCCGTGGGGCCCTTACTGCCACCAGAGCCTCCCTGCCGCCACCACAGACCCCAGCTCTGGGGATGTGGCTGAGCAGCCAGATTCGTTCACATCCCTTTCCCTGGGAGCAAACCGAGGCCACCCGGGGCGCGTCGTGGGAAGCTACACATAGGCACTCAGAGGCTATCCCCAGCTCGGCTCCCCTGTGCCCCAGTGCCCGGCTCAGTGCCCACTGTCAGGAACACTGCGTTCCCTGCCCCAAGCCTCCCTGATGGCCCCGGGGGTGTGGAAGCTCGCGTGTGCCCTGGGAGCTCCCCGCTGTCTGTCCTGGCACTCGGTCAGTATGGGTGGCCAGTATGGGTGCTCAGAGGGCACAGTGGGCAAGGCGCTGTCACCTCGCTCCCTCCGCTGGCCTGTCCCTCCCCACCCTCCTCTGTGCAGACACAGGCTAAAAATAGCCCGGTCCCCACGTGGCCACCGGCCCAGCAGCCCATCTGCCCTGCCGCGGCCGGCAGTTCCGTCTCAGGTCCCAGCCGTCTCCAAGGTAGGCCTGGGGCTCCGGGCTGGGGCTGGGGACAGGAGCAGCGGTGCGGGGTGCACTAGGCCAGGCCTGGGGATCTAGGAGTGGGCTTGGCACAGAGCCCTCCACAGGCCTTGTCGGCTCCTGAGCATGATGAGGCTCGAGGGCTAGCTTCCACACTGGCCTGGCTGGAGAGGGGAAGGGGCTGGACCCCGAATGCAGCCAGGGCCACGTGGCCGGACCCCACAGGCTGTGCTGGGGCCCTCTGTTGCCCCTCCTTCACTCACCTCCTTCACTCTGAGACCCAAGGAGCCCCCCGCCCAGGCTGGCACCCTGGGCAGCAGGTGTCCGCAGGTGCCCAAGGCCCCAGGAAGCGTCTGGGCCTCCACCAGACGCCGCCACCCTCATAGCTGGCCAAGGGCAGCGCAGCAGCAATGCCTGGAATGCAAGGCCTGCGAGCGGTGGCTGGGACAGGCCCCCTCGCCCAGAGTCCACAGCCAGTCTGCCCTCATCCAGCCAGGGCGCCACCCCGAGGGGCACGCAGGCTGGCCCTGGAGGCTGAGGCGGGCTCCTCCGTCCTCTCTGGTTCTGTAGGAAGGGGACCGGACCACAGCGTGCCAGGGAGTGACTGGCACACGCTGGCTGGGGTTTTGCCCTTCCATTCCCTGTGGTGGCGCCCCCTGGTGGACAGATGCCTCCCTGCTGTGTAGTTTTTGGCTCTTTGGTGACCTCAAAGAACACACCTGCAGATTGTTTTCTGGGGACTGTTTTCTTCGGGCAAACAAGCAGAAGTAGATATGTGAATGTGTGTCAGCAGATTTGCTAGTGGAAGTCCTGTGCCACTAGGCCGAGAAGCAGCAGCTCCTGGGGAAGCAGTGCCCGACCGTGGCCCAGGCCTGGCTCCCCCACTTCCTGCTGGGTGCTCTTGGGCAGTGCTGCCCGCCCCCGTCCCCGCCCCCAGCTGTGAGACGACAGCATGCAGCGAACCAGGGCTGACCCAGGGAGCCATGGGAGGCTGGGGACGCGGGCCCTTTCACCCTCAACCTCTCCATCAGAGGAGGAGCCCGGCAGAGAGGGCGTGGCTTGCCCACGGCCACCTGCAAGGTCACAGCAGGTGTGGGGCAGGAAGCCCGAAACGGCTCCCGTGGCCTGCACAGCAGTGTCCGCCTGGGCAGAAGAAGCCACAGCGGGTGCAGGTGCAGGGGTGGCTACTCCCCGGGGTCTGGGCTGTGCATCTCAGAGAGGCTGAGGAAGTCCAGGGCTCGGGCCTCTCTCCTTTGAGCCTCAGCTTCCCCCATACAGTGAGTGCAGCCCTCGGCCTGCCACACGGAGCTTGGCCTGGGCAGTGGGCATGGCAGTCCCTTGGATCCATGAGGCTGGCCACCTCACTGTCTTCTCCAGGCGCTAGGGAGGTGCCGGGCACCATGGTGCGGAATGTGGACGACCTGGACTTCCAGCTGCCCTCGCACGCCCAGGACATGCTGGATGGCCTGCAGCGGCTGCGCGCTCTGCCCAAGCTGGCCGATGTCACCCTGCTGGTGGGCGGCCGGGAGCTGCCCTGCCACCGTGGCCTCCTGGCGCTGAGCAGCCCCTACTTCCACGCCATGTTTGTGGGCGACTTTGCCGAGAGCTTCTCTGCATGCGTGGAGCTGCGGGACGTGGAGCCGTCCGTGGTGGGGCAGCTGGTGGACTTCGTGTACACCGGCCGGCTGACCATCACGCAGGCCAACGTGGAGGCGCTCACGCGTACTGCCTCGCAGCTGAACTTCCCGGCCGTGCAGAAGGTCTGCGGCCGCTACCTCCAGCAGCAGCTGGACGCCACCAACTGCCTGGGCATCTGCGAGTTCGGGGAGCAGCAGGGCCTGCTCGGGGTGGCCACCAAGGCCTGGGCCTTCCTGCGGGAGAACTTCGAGGCCGTGGCTCGGGAGGACGAGTTCCTGCAGCTGCCCCGGGACCGGCTGGCTGCCTGCCTGGCCAGCGAGCTGCTGCAGGTGCAGCCTGAGCAGAGCCGGCTTAAGGCGCTGCTGCGCTGGGTGCGCCATGACCCCCAGCCCCGGGCCGCCCACCTCCCCGGGCTGCTCAGCCTGGTGCAGCTGGGTGCTGTGCCCAGGCCCTGCATGCAGGAGCTGCTGGCCACAGAGCCGCTGATCCAGGCATCACAGGCGTGCCAGGTGGCCCTGTCCCAGGGCCACAGCGGGGTGAGTGAGGGCCGGGCCCCAGCCGTGAGAAGCAGGAGGAAGCACAGTGTGAGGCCCCCAAGGGTCCCCAGACTTCCATCACTCCCTGCCTGGGGCGGCCACTGAGAGAGCATCGCTGGTCACCCTCCAGGACAGACCCAGGCTGTTGGGGGCCGCAGCTTTCGTGCTGTGACAGATCAGAGCAGAAGACAGCGTAAGGGAGGGGAGGCCGACTTTGGCTCCGGATTTCAGGCCTTGGTGGCGCAGCTCCATGGCTGCTCACCTCCTGGCAGCCCGGACCACAGCGACCCTCCCAGCCACACCCTGTGCCTTTGGAGTGGGCCCTGCTCCTAATTCGAGAGCCTGCTCAGGTGGGCTTGTGAGCGGCTTCCCCTGGATGAAGCACAGGGTGCTCTCGTGACCTGATCCCCTCCCGGACCCCGCCTTTGAGCACAGCTGTGATGGGGACCCAGCCCCCACCCTGAGCCCCAAGGGGGTCGAGGGATCCAGACCCGACTCCAGGCTGGCGATCTGGAGGCGCCCCGTCTTAAGGTGCCCACAGCCCAGGGCACGGAGATGGGAGGCAGACCCAGAGGCAGCAAGGCAGGCAGGCGCATGCTCGGGGGGTAGGGGCAGCCTGCGGGGAGCTGGCGGGCAGTGGGTGCCAGGGGTAGGTGGCATCGGAGCTGGGCCTTCGAGATGGGGCAGGGGCTTGGCAAGGGGAAGAGAAGGGAATGCCCTCCAGGAACGTGGCACAGGTGGGGATGCAGACAGGCATGGCAGTGCCACCTGCCCAGAGGGTGGCAGTCATCTTGGGCCACTCCCACTCCAGCTGGCAGGGGCGGAGGGTAGGGCAGGTCCCAGGGCAGCAACAGGCCTGACGTGGTTGGGGCCAGGAGCCCAAGGCGGGTCAGCTGCCGGCATAGGTTGGGGCCTGGAGGGACAGAAATTGGCTCAGCTTGACAGTGTAGCACGGGGCCAGCACATGCTAGCTCTGGGTGCCACCTGGCCTATGCACCTGGCCTTGGGCAGAGCCCAGGCATGGCAAGGGTGCTGCCGGTGGAAGGGCTGGGCAGGCCAGAGCGGGTCCAGGGCAGTGGGATGGTGGGGCCACCCCGAGTGGCCTGCTGCAGGCCAGTGGGCGCAGGGATATCCAGGAGGCCGGGGTCTTGCTGAGGAACTGGCTCCGGCTCTGGACCCCAAAGGGGGTGCAGGGGAGCTTTGGGTGGGGGGGCAGCTGGTGTGGCCGGAAGCAGCAGCTTCTGCCCTCAGGGACACAGGGCTGCTGTCCATGCCACTCTGTGCAGCTGCCGCCATTTCCAGCCCACCAGAGACACACACACTCGTGTGTCCACATAGGCGCACACGTGTGCCAAGGCCTGCCTGCCCCCTATGCGAGCCCCTGGACAGTGGCCTCACTGTGCCAACCCTGCAGGTGCTGCCCAGCCCCCCACAGAGGCTGGAGGAGGTGCTGGTCGTGGTGGGCGGCCAGGCATTGGAGGAGGAGGAGGAGGGCGGGGAGGAGCCTGCACCCCGCCCTGCGAACTTCGCCTTCTACGACACCCAGGCCAGTGAGTGCCCGCCCTGAGCCGTCCCCACCACTGCGGGCCCCGGGAGTGGGTCCACAGAGGACAGGGCACCTGCCAGGTCCATGTCTCAGGGTGCCCATGGGCATCGTGGGCTGGAATGAGCCTGGGGCCTGCAGGGGAGGACAGGGGTGCATCGGGCTGGGGACCCTTTCACCCCCTGTCTTGCTGGAGCCCCAGTGCTGGTCCTGGAGGGGTCCCAGTGCCTTGCCCTGTGCTCCCGGTGAGGAAGGAGGCCAGTGGGGGATGACGTGCGAGGGGTGGTGAGAGCCCAGGCTTCCCTTTGTCTCCCTGAGCAGACCTCAGTTTCCCCTCTGTGAAATGGGCTCTGTGAGGGCACAGGCAGGGGAGCGGGCGTGATGGGTCTGGGGGACCTGGGGGCCTCTGCTGGCCTCAGGGGCCTTGGTGTCACTTCCGGAAAAGTGCTGTGGCAGCTGGCAGTGCCACCAGCGGGCCCCAGACGAGGCCCAGTGGCTGTCCCAGCCTGGCCGGGTGACGGGGGATTTGGTGCTGACGTCAGGAAGCAGCTGTGCCTGGCCTGGTGGGGACGCTGGGCCTTCCCCAGCGGGGGACACAGGTGTGAGTCAGGGACATGCAGTCCTGCCCACGGTGAAGCTTTGCGCTCCTGCACACTGTCCCAGCAGCCCAGGGCACTCCCAGTCCGCCTCGAGGGCCAGGCCTCCAGGAACACCCAGATGCCCACTCCCGAGCTGACTGTCTCATGTGGGCTTTTCCCAAAGCGTTTCTCACCCTCGGCCTCAGTTTACCCCAGGTCACTCCATGAAGGCGAACTTGTCCCTCTGCCCCTCGCAGCCCACACCTCTCATGTCCCCATGCTTCCCTCAGAGCCAGGGACGCTCCCTTTCTAGACAGAGAAACCGAGGCTGGGCTCTGCCCAAGGCCACACAGGTGGGTCCCAGGCCTGCTGCAGGGGTGTCTGGCCCCCCATGCGCTGACTGCCGAAGAATGGCAGGGCATGAGTGATGTGAGCCGCTAGCGACGCCCACAGTTGTGCCCTCTGACCCATACCGCATGGGACCGCAGGGTCCACACGGGGCAGGGGAGCTCTGCTCTGTGCCCCCCTGGGTGCCACCCTGAGTCCGGTCTGGTGTTGCTCTGAGGGCGCTGTGGGGAGGTGGATCATGATGATCCGGGCAGCCAGGCCTGGCTCCAACCCACCCCACGGGTGTCACCCCCTGCAGCCAGCCGTCCCCATGCAAGGGGGCCACGTGGGCACCCAGCCCCTGGGCAGGGCCTGCAGCACATCAGCCACCCCAGCCAACCCTCCGCCTCTCTTCCTGCCAGGGCGGTGGATGGCACTCCCCGACTTCCCTGACTACCACAAGTGGGGCTTCTCGCTGACGGTGCTCAACAATGACATTTACATCACAGGTGGGCAGCCGGGGCTCCTCAGGGACACCCGGCCCAGCTGGCACCCAGAAACCATCCCTCCCCACTGGGCTGGGACCCTCCAGGCCTCCCCAGGCACGTGAGCGCCAGGACACTTAACTGCGGGGCTCCCACACTTCTGTCTGGGGTCCCGCCTCCCCAGGAGGAGCTATGTGGCTGCCGGGCCACCCTGACTCTCCCCTTCCCAGGACATGGCCGTCCCTGAGGACGCAGGGTGGAGACCTGGATCCGAGTCCCTGGTCTACGGGAACAGAGGTCTCACAGCTGGCCACCCCTGAAGACCCAACCTGGCCCATGGTCTGGCAGCTGGGGAGGCTCAGCACATTAGGGGTCACACCCTGGCACGGAGGGGCTGGACACTGCGGCCAGAGGCCCCAGGCTGGTGGCGCTCATGTAGACAAAGCCTCTCCTGGCAGGTGGCTCCCGGGGCAGCAAGGCAGACACCTGGTCAACCACGCAGGCCTGGTGCTTCCCGCTGAAGGAGGCAGCCTGGAGGGCTGTGGCGCCCATGCTGAAGGCCCGCACCAACCATGCCAGCACGGCGCTCAACGGGGAGATCTACGCCATCGGTGGTGAGCTCCTCACCCGCCCCGGCCTGTGGTTGGTTGGAGCCTCCTGGGCCCGCAGCCCCAGTCCGCACCCCAGGGACATGGCTGCCCATGGCTGTCCAGGAAGCTGGCTGCCTGGTGAGGTCAGTGTGCCCCACGCCCGGCTCCCAGCAGGTGGCCCTGGCAGCCCCTGCCCTGTGCTCTCGGTCGCCAGCCTGGGGCCTCATGACGCCATGGGGACACAGGAAGCAGAGGTGTCCAGCAGGAGCTGGAACTCAAGCTGCTGGCAGGGATGAGCGCAGGCTCCGGGGCCCGGGCAGCTGCGGGTGAAGCCCCACTGTGTCCTCCCTGCCGAGCCCCAGCCTGGCCCCGGGCCGCCTCGTGCCCAGACACCCAGCGAGCAGCCCTGGAGCTGGCAGTAATGGGTGCTGGACAGCGAAGCCCCTGCAGCTCCACTCATTAAAGAGCCATGCCTGGCCCCAGGGATTCGAGGCCCTTCCTGTCCTGGCTGCCTCCCTTCTCTCCATGCTGGGCCCTGGTGAGAGCAGAGACCACCACGGTTCCGGAGCCCAGGGTGCCGGGGGACCCCAGGTCTGCAGAGGTCGAGACTCCTGTCCACAGGCTTCCCGCTGTCCTCACAGCAGGCTCCCCCGGGAACTAGGGTGCCCACAGCTGCAGGTCATCCACCACCCACCTGCACCAGGGTCAGGAGCCTGCCCCACACCGCTTCCTGACTGCGTGACCTCATGTGAGCGTCCTGGCCTCCAGGAGCCTCAGTTTCCTCACCTGTGAAGTGGGCAAGCTCACTGCCCTTCCAGTCCTGGGCCCCGAGCCTCGGCTGGCAGCACCCTTTCCTCCTGTGGGCTCCCACAGCCCTGTCCCCCGCTGCCCCCCAGGCACCACGCTGGACGTGGTGGAGGTGGAGAGCTACGACCCCTACATGGACAGTTGGACGCCCGTGCGGCCAGCACTCAAGTACGTCAGCAACTTCTCCGCGGCCAGCTGCCAGGGCCGTCTCTACCTGGTGGGTTCCAGCGCCTGCAAGTACAATGCCCTTGCTCTGCAGTGCTACAACCCCGTCACAGGTGGGCGTGGTGGCCGGCTGGGAAAGGTGACTGCGGGTCCCGTCAGGTGGGAGGCAGAGGGAGGCGGGTCCTGCCCTGCCCCACGGAAGTGACTGCGTGTGTCCCCCCCCCCCCGCCTGCTGGTTTTTCCCTGCGAAGTGGCCTGGTAGGGGCGACCCCGAGCCCCATGGGCTGGGCTCCGGGGTGGGGCCCGAGGTCCTGCTGGACCTTCTCCAGCTCAGCGGCTCCTGGCCCTGGATCGGACCTCTTTCCACAGCAGCGATGTGAGGATCCACGAGACAGATGGGCCCCGGGGGAGGGTGGGCCGGGCAGGGGGCAGGAAGGGGGCCGAGGCCCAGGGCTCCAGGCCAGGACCCCCGAGGCTGAGGTTCTGGGAGCCCTAAGCTCAGAAGACAGGCGAGGTGCCCGGCCCAAGAGCGGGCATCCACTATGGCCCTGGTGCAGTGCCCTGTGCCCGCAGACTCCTGGAGCGTGATCGCCTCGCCCTTCCTGCGCAAGTACCTGTCCTCACCGCGCTGTGCCGCGTTCCATGGGGCGCTCTACCTCATCGGCGACAACACCAAGAAGGTCTACGTCTACAACCCGGGAGCCAACCTGTGGCAGAAGGTGGGCAGCGCCAGCCACCAGAGATTCGCAGGGGCAGCCCAGGCGGGGGAGAGGTGGCCGAGCTCCTTGGGCGCCAAGCTGGGGCCTGCAGGCAGCAGCCGCTTCCCTGGCTGGCAGTGAGCCTCCGCCTTGGGCAGTAAGCGGGAGGGGACTGCTGAGCTGGCAGCTTCTTGCCCCCAGTGCCCGAGGGCAGCCCGTGCCACTGTTCTCCTCCCGTGCTCAGGGCAGGGCTGCGCCTCTGCTCTCCTGCTGCCCACACTATTCCTGAGCCTTGGCACTTTACCGAGCTTGAACTCACTGTGTGGCTCCCGCTGGCCTCGTACTTGTGGCAATCCTCCTGCCTCAGCCTCCTGAGTGCCAAGGTTACAGGTGTGTGCCACCACACCCAGCATGTATTGAGGAATGGCGAGCTCCCAGGGTGCACCAGTGCCCTGGCGGGACAGGGGCAAGGCAGCCCCCTCCCTGCTGTCCCAGGTGCCCAGCGAAGGCTCCTGCCCACCACCCTGTGTCCTCAGGTGCAGTCCCAGCACAGTCTGCACGAGAACGGAGCACTGGTGCCCCTGGGTGACGCGCTGTACGTGACGGGTGGCTGCTGGCAGGGCATGGAGGGCGACTATCACGTGGAGATGGAGGCCTACGACACCGTGCGGGATGCCTGGACCCGCCACGGCGCCCTGCCCCGCCTCTGGCTCTACCACGGGGCCTCCGCCGTCTTCCTGGACCTCTCCAAGTGGACGCAGCCCTTCAGCCCTGCCCCGCAGCCCTAGGCCGCGAGGGTCCCCAGGCAGGGCCTCATCGCCCGAGGAACGGCCCCTCTGATGCCTGCTTGCTTGTCCACTTGGGGCTGCAGCCCCTCCAGGACCCAGTCGGGCGCTGGCCGCCAGGGGACGTAGCACAGCCCGGGGATGCCACCACACCTGACTGCCCAGCGGTGGGGAGGACCCCCGTCCAGGACAGACAGTGGGGGCAGAGCGGCCCCAGGACTCGGGCAGGGGCCTCCCAGGCAGGCCTGCTTCCCTCACCCTCAGCTTGGCGTCTCTGTGGGCCTCTCTGGGGTCCCCCAGGGCAGACTCAACCTCCTGGGCCCTCTCCTGAGCCAAGCCAGTGGAGCAATAAAGGGCTCTCTCTGGCTCCGTGTCGCACCTGATGTCACAGGCTTGGTCAGAGGCGGTTCAGGCCCTGGTGCTGACCTTGCCTGCCCTGGGGCCCAGCCAGAGTAGGGTCTGGTGCCAGTCCCCAGGGGAAAGACCAGGGCCTCACAGGACCACCTGGCCACAGGTTGAGCGGAAAGAGCCAGAGCTCGTGGAAGGAGGCCAGCTGGGAGCTGCTCAAAATGAAGACCTCACAGCCAGCCGTGTTGGTGCACACCTGTAATGCCAAGCACTCAGGAGGCTGAAGCAGGAGGATCACGAGTTCCAGGCTGGTCTGGGCAACTTAGTGAGGTCTTGTCTCAAAAGTAAAAAGGGAGCGTGCAGGGAGCCAGGTAGTCCTACTTTGATCGGAAACGGGCAGCTGGAAGGTGATGGCAAGTGGAGCTGCTCTATGCCTCACGCCGTGTGGGTGGGACTGGGGGCCTAGGCGGGTACGTGTGTGGTGGGGAGGGACACACACCTTCCAGAGAAAGGTGCTGCTGCGCTGTGGTTTGCACTTGGGGGACGGTGTGCCCAGGGTCCCTGGAGGGCACTGTCAGGGCTGCAGCCAGGACTGCAGAGCTAAGCAGGGTGACTGGCGGGGGTGCCCTCCAGGACGGGCAGTGTGGGGACCCCCACCACAGTGTCCGAGGCTAGGGTGCAGGTGCACATCCCCGCAGCTCCAGGACCGGGCCACTCCCAGGTGATGGGGATGACCCAGAGACTGGGCCGATGACGCGGGGCTGGGGCCTGAGCTCCGGAGGCCGCACAGCAAGAGGACTTTGGGCTCCCACTGTTTCGAGGCGAAGGGAGCCTTTTTCCCATGACAAGGACGTGCTCTGGAGACGCGGGGAGCGGGCACAGCTTGGCACACTGGGATGCCGGGCAGCCGGGCCGAAGCTGTGACAGGAGGGCCCAAGAATGAGGCTTGGGTTTCAGCAGGGCGTGCAGGCGTGTGGGGACCCCATCCAGGCTCCCCCGGGTTCCCTGGCGCCACCCCCACTTCTGAACCCAGGCCTGCTCCTGCAGGGGGAACCCTGTTTCCGGTGCTCCTTGATTTGCCCAATTCTTTGCTAAGCTCTGCCTCCTCTGAGAGCAAAGTTTTTTGGAAAGGGGACCCCAGAAACACCCAGGGCCCCCAGCTGAAGGCCCAGCATGTTTTGCTCTGTCACCTCCCTCTTCCACCAGGCTGGGTCATCACCACCATGGGATAGCAGGACAGCACCAGAACCGATCGGATTTGGGCCCAGGCAGAGCCCATGGCATCACTGGGATTGTTCACTGTTTGGGACAATAGCTGTTTCCCAGGGCAACAGCCTGGGTCCCAGACCCTGCCCCTCCTGCTGGCCGAAGGGGATGATGTCACTCGAGCTCTTACAGGTCACACTGCCAAACCGCGTCCTCCAGTCCCACACTCCCTGGTGCCATAGCCAGGCCTGTAGGGAAGGAACTCTGTTCTGGGCAGATCTGCCCCTCAGGGAAAGGACACAGCCATGTCCCCACAAGCTTCAGATTCATCCCGAACTAGGGTTCCACGGCAACCAGAGCAGAAGAACCCCTGCAGCATGACACAGTGGCCATGTCCAGTGAGCTGGCCTCCATCCCGGGCTGTGTCCCTGGCGAGTGGCCACCTCCCGAGTGCACCGGGGCCCAGCACAGTCGATGCATCCTGGGTGTGGACACAGTTTTTCAGAGGTGAGAAGGGGCCCTGCATGAAGCCGTATCTGGGGAGCACAGAGCAGGCACCCCACCTGCCACACATGCTTCTGTGCCAGGCTCCTCAAAGGACCCCCAACAGGGCCAGAATGGACGCCCACAGGGAAGCCGCCCCACGCTCCCTGGGTGTGCCGGGCTGGGCGTGAAGGGCCCTAATTGTGTGGAGTCTGCTGACCGCTTCCCGCGGCGGAAGTCCAGATGCTGCTGGGTCCGTGCTTGTGTTCAGGGTTTCCCAGGTGGATTCTTAGAGATCTACAATTTCCTCAGGAATTAATCTAATCCCTTTGTTTTTTAAAAAATTGCGTGTCAGCTTTTAAAGATAGACCTTCTCTGCAGTCCCACTTGCCAGGGAAAGAGCACTGAGGACCGAGGCCCTGGGCCTTATGCCCTGGGGAGCAGCTTCTCAGGGTGATTTTCCTTTGAGCCTCACTAGGCCCACCACCAGCTCCACACCCTACTGGGAAAGAGGCCAAATCCCAGCGAACAATAACACTGAACCCAGGGCTTTCTCTGAAGTATGGAGTGCAAGACTAAGGGATAAGGAAAATGAGGTGTTCACACCCAAGGGAGCACTGGGAAAATGGACGCATCTTGAGACCACAGTGTTAAGTGAAATAAATCAGACACATGAGCTTAAATATCACGCAGTTTCTTTTATATGAGAAACCCAAATTATAAACAAAGAGGAAAATAAAAGATAGATGGTAGGAAACAGGGAGACAGAGCTCTTGCAAATGGGAAGGGCAGGAGAGATGGCGGGGAAGGGGCCTAGGAAGAATCCAGCTGTGTGACGCCATGCGTCAAGCCCGGGGTGAGGTGACCGTCACGCTCCGCAAGCAAGGACTAATAAAAGTAAAAATGACAGGAGTGTGGAGCGCCGTGGTTCCTGGCACAGGGCTGGTGGCCGCCTCCTGCGCGGCTGGGAGAGGTGGCCCCGACCAGGACCCCTGGGCCCCTCCACCCTTCTTGCACACTGGCGGACACAGGGAGCCCCTGCCAAGGAGGGAGCGCGCTCAGCAGGTGCCAGGCCCGCATCCTCCCGGCTTCCGTGCTCCACTGTGCTGCGACAGCGCTCCGGCCTGCAGGGTGGGCTGCACCTGCGCTGAGCCCGGCAGGCCCTGCCCATCATCTTCCCCACACCTGCGGGACACCGCGGAGTTCAGTCCCCGCCCGGGAGCCCTCGCACCCTGCAGCGCGCTCGGGCGCCGGGAGGGGGCGCGGCCGGGAGCGCGGGATTCGAGCCTATATAAGGCGCGCGGCCCAGGCCGCTTTCCACCCGCCGCCCGCATGGCCCCGGCCCGCCGCCCCACCGGCGCGCGCCTGCTGCTCGTCCACGCGGGCCTCGGCGCCCCGGATCCCGCAGGGAGCCTTGCGCATCCGCCGCCGCCGGGGGCCCCGCTGCCCGCCGAGAGCCGCGCGCGCCTGGCCGCCCGCCCCTGGTAAGACGGGGCCGCCGGTGTCCCCGGGTGGGGCCTGGGCCGGCGGCGCTCTCCGTCCCAGACGCTCCCGCGCGAGGGCTGCTGTGCAGGCTGCCGCCTCCCCGGCCTGGGGACCGAGCCCCCGGGAGCCAGAGCCGGCGTGGGAACCGGTCCTGGTGAAAGCAGACTGCCACTGCGCCAGCGGAGGAAGCTGGGAAGTGGGGAGAACTTCATCCCAGGGCGCTGGGCAGCCCAGGCTCGCCAGCCCAGGCTCGCCAGGGACGGGCCTGCGTGTCCCCCGACATCCGGCAGTGCTTCCTGGGGGGTGGGCCCACGACCGCTCCTCTCCTTCCTTCCGGCCTTTTTTTGCCGGTGACTCCAGGTGAGGAAGGAGTGACCGGAAGCTGTGCCCATGCCTTCCTGCCCAGGGCCTGGGGCCTGGAACGCAGGTTGGGGAGGACTTGGTGGCACTTCCCAGGTGGCCCCGGAGCAGGGAGTCCGGGGCTCTGGGTCTCCCTGTTCTGAAGGTGTCTGTGGCCCACGAAGGGCCTCCATCCCCACAGGCCCACTCAGGGCTGTGCCAGGCCAAGAAGGCATCAGCTAAGGTCAGGCGGTGCCCGGGGCTCTGGACTCTGCCCACCATGCCTCCCCACAGCCCCCTCAGGGCAGCCAGCCCTCCAGGCTGCCAAGTGGGCTCTGGCCCTGGGCCTCCTGTGGCCCCCAGGCTCCAGGAGGCCCCATGGCTCCTGACCCAGACTGCAGCAGGCCCAGCTCCCAGGACGCAAGATCAGCAAGGCTCCATGGGTCCCCAACTCCAGCTGGGGTCCCTGGTCCAGCTGGGAGGGCAGCTCAGCGCCAGCCCCCAGCTCACGCCAGTCTGCGTGAAGTCTCTACCTCGTGGAACCACCGTCCCGCCATCCGGGGAGCGCACCCCGTAGCCCTGCAGGATGTGGGGCAGCACTGAGAGGACCAAGGGCCCGGACACACTGTCTCCCTGAGGGCCCTCCGACATTGAGGTCCCCCTTGGCACCAGGGTCTGTGCATGGTCATCAGCAGGGACCGACCAAGAAGCCACAGGCTTTGACTCGGTGGCCAGGCCGTTTTGGACGAAGGGGCCCAGGCAGCTGTAAGATCCCAAGAGCCCCCCCGTCAGCCATTGCAGTCTGCACCCATGACCTCACCCGAGCCTGCTCGAGCCATTTCTTAGCTGGCATCCCTGCCTGATGCCACAGCGCCAGGCCCGCTGCCCAGCAGCCCCAAGGCCTCTGCCAGGAACTGAGGTTCCTCCCTGAACTTTGGCAGCTTCAGGACCCGTCAGGCGCAGAGTGCATGGGGAGGGAGTTCCCGAAGCCACTGTCCTCGCTTGGGCGGTGACAGGAGTGCGGAGGAAGATGAACAGGGTGACACCTCACCTGGTCCCGCCCACTGTGCCCTCAGCTGAAATCACCTCTCTGGGACTCCTGGGGTCATCGGGGAATCCCCGGTGGTCACAGCCACCTCTTCCTGGGTGCTTACGGTGCCGGAGCTCGAGGGGCAGGGCTGTGCTGAGGGGCAGCCCTCCCCAGGGTCCTCTCCTGCAGAGCAGGCCTGTGGGGTGTGAGGACTGACCTGTGGGCTGTTGCAGGAGCCCAGTGCCACGCACACGTGAAGTGTCAACCCCCAGGACACCTGGATGCTGTTGGTCAGGCAGAGCAACAAGGGCATCAACGCCAAGAGGAGCAGAGGCAAGGCCCCGAGGCTGAAGGTGAGCAGCAGGTGTCCGTCACCCTCCGTCACCCTCATCGGGGCTTCTCGTGCACCTGTGTTTCCAACTGCACACCCCAGGGCAGGAGGCTGGGGGACCAGGCCAACCCACGGAGCCCTGAGTTAGGGGACCAATTCACCCTGCGGCCCTCGAAGACCAGCCCCCTCCCTCTCTCCCATTGGCTGGTTCCCCTGTCACTCAGCCTGGGGCCCCGTGGGCAGGGACCTGACACCTGGTCCTGACAGCCAACTCCTGTGTTGAGCCGCAGAGGTACCGCTCCCCACGGCCAGGAGCTCCGGATCAGGGCTTCTCTGTCCACTGAGGGCCCCTCAGCACTGGGTTCTGATGCAGCACTTCGAGGTGGGCTCCCACCATGGCCTTGTCCACCTGCCCACCCTTGACCAGCTGGCCCTGCCCGGGCCTCTCCACGCAGGAGACGTGCTCCTTCCCGGGTTGGGTCTGGCCTGGCCCTGTGTGGGTGTTTAGGGTGCTGGGCCAGGTTCGCGGGGCTTGCTGACCCTGGCTGACTCTAGGTACAGGGCTCTGACAGCAGCCGGGAGGCCCTGTCTCCCCCAGCAGGGCCAGCCAGCCAGCCAGGCCTCTGACCCAGGGTCTGTCTTTCCCTGGCTGTGGGGTCAGGTGAGGCCCTGGAAGGACGGCCTGGGTCAGCCCCGCTGTGCGGATGGCTCCCGTCCTGTCCTCAGGGCGAGAGTGCGCGGCATCCTCACCACTGTGGTTCCCTTCCAGCTCGGCCTGCCAGGGCCCCTCATCCTGCCAGAGGCTCTGCTGAAGGAGTTCCAGCTGCTGCTCCAAGGTAGGGGTGGCACGGGGTGTGCCCAGGGCCCGGAGGGGACAGGCCGCAGCCACGCAGCAGGCCCAAGTGTGGAAGGCTGCCCGGGTGGGAGGAGAAGGCTCACTGAGGACGGTGGACCTGGCTCCTCGGGTCCGAGGCCTGCTCAGGACCAGCACCAGGACCCCGCCCAGGCTGGCTGCACTCCGGGTAGCTGGGCAGCTGCTCAGCACGGCTCGCGTTATTCACAGGAACTGGGAACATGATGAACCACAGAGTCGTTTCCTCCCCATCCCGTGTAGCTTGCTCGTTTCTAAACACCACTTCCAGCCGGGTGTGGAGGCACACGCCTGTGATCCCAGCACTCAGGAGGCTGAGCAGGCGTCACTGCTTGTTTTAGGCCAGCCTGGGGTGCTGAGCGAGACCGAAACAAACCCCAACAAAACAACACTTGCAGGGGCTTTTTGAAGGGCCTAGATGTTACTTCCGGTGCAGCTGTAGTAGTTATTCTCGCTCAGCTTCTTCCCCGCCACGCGGGTTAGGACTGGAGAGTGCTGAGCAAAGCTATGGGCTCCGGGCAGCCGTGGGATCAGGACACAGGGTCCAGGCCCGTGACTCCCGGCCATCCTCCGGGGCGTGGGACGGGGTGGTCCAACCACCCACCGCTGCCCTGTGCCAGGGGCAGTTCGGGAGCGCGAGAGCGCGCGGAGGGCGAGCCGTGCACACCAGGCCCCGCCCAGCCGGCAGCCACCCGGGAGGACGAGGACGAGGACGCGGAAGAAGTGCTGGCTCTGCTGGCCGCGCCCCCGGCCCCCTGCGTGGAGGCCGCGTTCCACTGCCGCCTGCGCCGGGCAGCCCCGGTGGGGCGGCACGCACTGCACGAGCTCAGCTTCTACTACGTGATGAGTGGCGTGGGCGGGGCCGGGCGGGGCCAGGGGGGACCCGGGGTGACTTCCATGCACCCCGCAGCCCGACGCAGAGGGCGCCTTCCACCGCGGCTCCGGCCTGAACCTGACCAGCGGCCAGTACACGGCGCCCGTGGCCAGCTTCTATGTGCTCGCAGCCACGCTGCACGTAGGTGAGCCCCGGGGCGTGGGAGGGGCGCTCCTGCCCCGCACCCCCACCCTGCGTGACCTCTCCCCGAGCCACCCGCAGCGCCGCTCAGGCGGGGTTCGCCGTGCCCCCGGGACCGCCTGCGCCTGCTCACCTGCATCCAGTCCCGCTGCCAGGGCAACGCATGAGTGCCCGGCGTCCGGTGGGCCACCCTCTGCCTCCCGCCCCCTGGCTCCCGCCCTCCCAGCACCCAGGAGGGCTGCTCAATGCTGCACTGCCCCACCGGGTCTCGAGGCCAGTCCCTGCCACCTCCCGCTGTCTTCTGTCCCCCGGCGCAGGGCCCAGGCCCACAGCAAGCACTGGCAGGAGGCTGGAGAAGGCGCGATTGAATGGGGAAACTGAGGCTTCTGGCGTTGAAAGACCCGAATGTATTAGCCAGCTTAACACGTCACTTGCAGCCACACTGCCTCCCTGGGCACCGGTTTCCCACTGGCGCAGGGACTGCCCCTTGCTGGACTCCGGCCTTGAGAGGCCTTTGGTCCCGGGTCTGCCCCTCCTGGGGACCCGAGCAGGCGGGCGGGGCCAGGTGCTCCGCTGCTGACTGAGGTGGCCATGGGCGAAGGTGAAGGCGGTGCTCCTCAGAGCGGGCTGAGCCTCCTGTCTTGGCTGCAGCTCCCTGGAGAGCAGCAGTGAGCTCTTCACCGTCTGTGTCAATGATGTGCTGTACCTGCTGGTACGGGGCCAGCTGGGCCACAGCCACAGGTGGCCGGTAGGGGTGCCAGGCTAGGCCCAGGAGGCTCAGCGCAGGCCAGGCAGAGCCAGGCTCCTGGTCCGAGTCTCCCTCCACTGCCCACGCTTTCCCGGGCAGACCAGGCTCTTCAACAGCAGTATGGCTCTGGGGTCTGCAATGTGCTGATCTCCTGAGGCTCTGGCATTGCGCAGGGCTGTGGGGCCAGGCTCGGAGCTTCACCATGCCCGGCCCTCTGCAGCTGTGGGAAGCCCAAGATGTTACTTTTTATGCTAAACCCCGAGCAGGAGCCTCCTCCGCTGTGGGGCTTTGGCCAGTGGCAGGGAAGCTGGCATGAAGGTGGGATTTACTAAAGGAGAAAGAAGTTGCTAACAGCAACTGTCGTTGGGGCCCCAGGCTTGCCCCAGCCCGGGCAGGGCTCCTGGGCTCCTGAACCAGCTGAGAGCTCGAACTAGCAGGCTCACCATCCAGCGGGCGCCTGGATGCAGCTTGGCAGGTGGAGCCCTGGGGATGTCCGGGCAGCTAGGCTTGAGTACAGCTCTCACCATGGCTCCGCCAGTGGGAGCTGGCCGGGCTGAGGGCATGGACAGGAAGTTCGCCCTGAGCAGGGACTCACTCCTGCTGGTGTGGCCTGGAGGGAGCTGGAACAGAGCATTAGGGTAGGAGCTGAGTGCTGGGCGAATCCTCAGCCTACTGAGCACGTGCCCCGGGCTGGCCGCCCTTCCCCTGCACAGGGGTGCAGGGCAGCAGCTGCCTGACAGACGCCCTTGATCCATACAGGTGGGGCAGTACCCCTCTGTCTTCCTGGACAACGCCAGCGGCTCCACCCTCACCGTGCGAAGTGGCTCCCACTTCAGTGCCATCCTCCTGGGTGTGTGAGTGGCTGCTGCTGGCCCCTCCTGTCCCGGGCAAGTGGAGAAGATGTCTGAATGGCATCAGACGGTGTGGGAGCATCAGTGGCCACAGGTGGCAGAAAGCCCACCTGGGAGTCCAGTGCTGAAGGCAGGCCTGAGAGTGAAGCATAAGCCGGTGTGCTCCACGGCAGTTTGCTGATGTCTGTCACTTTGTATAGCGAGGTCTCGTTACCCTGGGAACGCCATGTCCCCACAGTACCTGCACATCCTGCTGCAGATCAGCTCCTGGCCCCTGCCAGCCTTTTCCGGCTTCTTGGCACACTTTGGGCTGAGGGACCAGCAGGGGAGAGCAGGTGGGAGGGGAGGGGAGGGGAGCCTGGCAGCTGCTCCTTTGTCGCCTGTCTGTCCCAGCGGGTCCCACACAGCCCTCCCCGACGCTGGCCTGCAGATGGGCCTCAGGGCGCTGGCTGGTTGCTGAGGACCTTGGCATAGCAGCTCAGGGCAGCAGGGACGCTGGACAGAGACCTCCAGGGACTGAGCCTGTCCCTGTGGACCAGTAACCAGAGGCACCCCCTGCCCTGTACCAAGGGGCCGCTGGCCAAGGTCCCTTCCCATGCCCGGGTTCCACTCACTGCTGGGCCTCGGGGAGAACCCACACACCTTGAGGCTGCAGCCCAGCCAGCCTGCTGACCACTGTGTGGACGGGGCAGCCCGGACAAGTGGCCAGGCCCGGCCTTTCTCAGGAAGTGCTGTGGGCTGTCTGGGGACGGGGAGGGCAGTGGCCCTGTGGAGAGCCGAGTGCCCACAGCCTCCCAGGTTCTCCCAAGGCGAGACAGGCCCTGAGAAGTCGGAGGGAGACAAGGACCAAGGACCTCAGGAGCGGCCTGGCCTCCAGGGGATCCATCCAGCCTGGCTGGGGTGCACACGCCTGGCGGACACGGGGCGGAAATCAGCCGTGGAAGCTTCCAGGTGGCCTCAGGACAAGGTGACCACATCCAGGCTGAAGGCTCCTGGCTCCCAGGCGGTCTCCAGAAGCAGATGCCCACGCAGCGACGCTGCAGACCAACTGCTCTGCCAGGGCTGGCCGGTCCGATTCTCAGTAGGACTGGAACCCGCCCTACCAGGAAGTGCCTGCCGATAAGGGGCGGCACAGGCACTCCCTTCTCTGGACCCACTTTGCACCCAGTGGGCAGCAGGTTAGTTAGCTTTTACCTTGAGAAAGCCACAGGGGGCACCTAGCTCCTTCTCTCAGCCTAAGCGTGACACAGCAGCCCGCTGAGGCACCTGTCGTGGAACACGGCCAGGTGGGACTACTTACGGCGCACGGCACAGACTCGGGACTGTGGACTCGGGCCACAGCGGGCAGGACGACACCTGGTTTGCTGCAGGGAGACATTTACCAAATAAATGCTTTCCTGACTGCAGATGCTGAGAACCTTTCCTTGGGTCATGCTGCACTGTCCAAAGCCCCAGGCCCAAGCGACCGGCCAGCGGGCTTCTAACCTCTCTGGAGGGGTAGCACTAAAGCTGTGTGTGGCCGACACTGACAGACCCCAGGCAGCTACAGCTTGCACCAAGCATCGACACTAGAGTGGCCGGATGATAAGGCCTAGCGCTGGGTTGGGGCCTGCGAACATTACCAGACAGGTTCTGGAAAGGCAAGATTTCAGTCTTACATCAGCCCGAGCCAACACCCACAGGGCCCAAGAGCTACTTTAGTAAAACAGTAAGGATGATGACGTTTCCCATGTAAACAAGTGCTTGAAAAGCTCCTGGAGTGCTCCAGTCAGCGGCTCACACGGTACCAGGGTCTCTCGGAGGGGGACCCTGCCCCTCAGGCCAGCAGAGCCCCTGGCTCACACTACCCCACGGTGAGAGCGATTTCAGGGCCATTCTGGACGGCAGTGGGGATGCTCGGTGCAGTGGTACACGATTTACACCCAGGGCACCAGACTCGAGGGCGGTCGGAGCTGGTGCTCAGAGCCTTCTACCAGATGGTGCCATCAGCAAGGAAGTGGAAGGAGCTGGACCCCCAGGCCGCACGCCACGGGACAGCCTCGCTAGGGACCCGGGTCCTGTCCCGCTGGCAGCACTGGACACTTTCTGTATGGGAAACCGAACAGAGCCAGAGTGTTGCAGAAGCCTGGTGCTGTCCTAGCCTGTCCCTAACTGGCACCTCTGCCCCCAGGGCTCGTCTTGAGGGTGAGCAGAGCAAGGGCCCCAAGGCCCACAGCTACAGGTCAGCATGAGCCAGTCTGAGATGCCCACGGGGTTCTGACAGGCACAGAGCCGGAGCGCATTCTGGAGCAGACACACACTCAGCCTCCAAAGGGGCCGACTGCTCAGTGGAATAAGGGAACTGCAAAGACGAGGGGAAAAAAGAAAGAAACCTTTATTTACAGCCATGGGAGCCCCACAGGAGCGCACAGAACACGCAGCCTGGGCACACAGAGTGAACTTGCAGGTCCGGCTGCGTGCGCCTCAGGGCCCTATCCGCACCACCATCACGGTGACGTTGTCTGCCGAACCCCGCTGCACTGCCTTGTTGGCCAGCCTGTTGCACGCAGCTTCGTAGCGGGCGTCTACAGCGGGCTTCCCTTCCCTCGTCTGGATCTTCTCATCCTACCAGAAAGTAAAGGGGCCCGAGCAGACAGGTGATCAGCTTCATGACTCACCACCGGATTGACCCACTGATGGCCACGGCACACGTGCTATCAGGAGGGCTCGGCTTCGGGAGGCAGGTCACTGGGGCACTGCCTCAGGAGGTGGCTAGCTCTTCCTAAGCTCTGCTTCCTTTGCCTACCCTGTCCTTCTGCCGCAATGTTGCTGCCTTGGAGCCAGCTGACCACGGACTGGAGACTGACATGTGAGCCAAATCAAACTTCTCCCCCTTCAAGCCGGGGCTGTCAGGAATTGTGTCCCAGCAATGGGAAAGCTGACCCAAAAGGCTCCTTGTCACTCTCCTTATCACACAGCAGCCAGGGGACAATTTGCTCTTCCTCAGGGGGCCAGCAGGACAAAGTGACCTGAGTCCCCTGGGGATCGGAAAGGAACCGGGGGCAGCCCTGAATGGAGGACACGGGTCTGGGACTTCTGCCACCCTCTCGTACTATTCCTCACCTCCAGGCAGGACAAGATGAAGTTCACGGCTTCTTCTGGGGTAAAGACCTTGAAGAGCCCATCACAGGCCAGCAAAATAAACCTACCACACCAGGAAGAAACATAACCGAGTTTTAGCAGCAAACTCTGTAAGAACAAAATGCCCCAGATGCAGGGGTAAATACCTGTCTCCTCAGTGGCTAATAATTTTTAAGATTTTTTACGAGATCAGCGCTATTTAAAAATAGTTCTATGGGGGCCGGCGATTTAGCTCAGTGGATTTTGCCGCCTGCCGCCCAAGTGCAAGGACCGGAATTTGATCCCTGGTACCAAAAAAACCAAAAAACAAAAATAGTTTTACACATCAAAAGTGGGCCTCCCATTGTCTCCACCCACAAACACAGCCACAAACAGCTAGTGCTGCACTGCTTTAGACAGAGCCAGGGGCAGGGATGAACCCTGGGTCCATTGCCACAGCCCGGTGCTGTCTCTTTGGGATAAGAAGCTGACATAAGTTCAGGCCCAAGTGAAGCAGCCTTAGGGCTGGGTGCTTTACACCTGAAGTCCAAGACCCCAGGGGGACCCCAGTTTTTCTGGTCTGAAAAGAACACCCTGGCTCTCCCTTTCCAGACCCACTCTCCCCTAGAACGCTGGCAGAGGCCTTGAGCACCACAGCTTCTGCATGGCTGCCCTTGTTCCCCTGGCACAGCTCTGGGTGGCTGGCTGTCTTCCTGCACTGGCGTGCCCGTCTCCTTCCTCCTTAGCCAGTGTGTTCTCAGCACATGGTCTACACTTGGGACAGGGTGGGGACAAGGCCCAGCTGGCTCCTGCCCCTTGCAGTGTGCCAGCTCAGACCCAAAATGAAGCACAGAGCGTAGTCACCACACAGGAAGGGAAGCTGCAAAGGCAGAGCGTGTGAAGCAGCCAGGCCTGGCCTGGGGCTCATGAAGGCAATGTGAAGGGCTGGCTCTCTTCCTCTACAGCCCTGGGAGCAGGGGCCAGGCTGTGTCCAGCCACAGTGGCTGCCCACTCTCCCGCTGGCTCTGCAGCTCACCCGAGTCCCGTTCTCCTGAGCTTTCCTCCGCCCCCACCCCACTGGCTGCCGTGCCAGTCCCGCCAGGCTCCCTGGCACTGTGATCCGACCTCTGTTGAGGGTTGCTCTCAGGGAGGCCATGCCGTGCTGGCACAGGGAAGAGAGGCCCCTACACAGTGAGTCTCTCTCAATCCTCCTTGCCAGGCCCCGCCTGAAGCCTCCCAATTCTCCACCAGTTAGGATCTAAAATTCAAATGGCTCTGCAGAACTGAGGGCCCTGCAGTCTGTCCCCAAAACACCCTGCTTCATTTTCCAACCCTCTCCGTGTCCTCCAAGTCCCTTGCTGTCATTACTGGCACCTGCCTGGCTATGCTTTCATACTGTCACTCCAACACCAGCGTCACTTTCTCCAACAGGAACACCCCTTGCCCCATGGCCACAGCCTCCACACACCCCACTGACTGCAAGCCTCATCCCCAAGCACTAACCGCACTATTTCTGAACCCCAGGGCCCAGGGCAGTGCTGATACTGCTGCAGCCCCCACACACTCCTCCCCCAACCAAGGCTGGACACCAACTGGAAACAACCACATGTGTGCATACCATGCCCTCGGGAAGGCGATTTACCTGTCATTGGGGGTCAGCTGGCAGCGTCGGATATCAGGCACGGATGTAACCCCACAGCGCTTGTACTGCCCGTCCCCAATGGAGCGCGACACCTCCAGCACGCCCAAGACACGCCCATCCCTAAAAGGAGGGGAAAAACATTTTCAGATGCCACCTGACATCTGCCTAAAGGCAGAAAAGAGGTGAGTGGACGATCTAGACGGGACCTCACGTTACTAACCAGCACTGATACTTCTCTATGTCAAACAGCACAGAGACCCAGCCAC